ATCAGTCAGATTATCAGAAATGAAAATCTTCAAGCTACATTTGCTTATTTAGATAATATAACTATTTGTGGTGAAAACACAGAACAACATGCAAAAAATCTTGCCCGGTTCTATGAAGCATCCAGAAAATATGGGCTAACATTCAATGAGAATAAAAGTGTTATTGGCGTTAAACAAGTAAAACTTCTAGGCTATGGAGTTTCTCATAAAATGATCAAACCTGATCCCGATAGACTTCAAGCATTATGGAATTTATCACCTCCACGAGATCTTAAATCCCAACAGCGAGTCATTGGTCTCTTTGCGTATTATTCACAATGGATATCTCATTTCTCCGATAAAATTCAACCCCTTATACAAAATAAAATCTTTCCATTACCAGGTACTATTGTAAGCTCATATGCAGCATTAAAAAATGAACTTGCTCAATCTGTGATGACTACTGTGGATCTCGACTTGCCCCTTATAGTTGAAACCGACGCTTCGGATACTGCTATAGCTGCCACGTTAACACAAAATGGTAGACCCGTTGCATTTTTTTCCAGAACACTATCACCAAGTGAACGGCATCACTCAGCGGTGGAGAAAGAAGCTTATGCCATCGTCGAAGCTATTAGAAAATGGCGTCATTATTTACTTGGTACTCATTTCCAACTCATTACAGACCAACGATCAGTTTCTTTCATGTACGATATGAACCACCATGGGAAAATAAAGAATGACAAGATTCAGCGTTGGCGAATAGAACTTTCTTGTTACAGTTTTGATATAATCTACCGTTGTGGCAAAGAAAACAAAGTCGCCGATGCATTATCTCGCGGATATTCTGCTTCTGTCATGGGTGAAACTAATCTGAAAGACCTACATAACTCTCTGTGCCATCCAGGAGTTGTTCGCCTTCTTCACTTTGTGCGTTCTAAGAACCTACCTTTTTCTGTTGATGATGTGAAGAGGACGATATCTAGTTGTGCAGTTTGTGCTGAGCTGAAACCCAGGTTTTGCAAAGTATCCACAGGAAATCTTATTAAAGCGACTTCTCCTTTTGAACGTCTAAATATTGATTTCAAAGGACCTCTTCCTTCAAACTGCCGGAACAAATATCTTCTTACGATAATTGATGAGTACTCTAGATTTCCGTTCGCTTTTCCTTGCCAGGATATGACAGCATCAACTATTATTAATTGCCTGTGCCAGTTGTTTTCCCTGTTTGGTATGCCATCCTACATGCATTCAGACAGAGGATCGTCGTTTATGTCTGCAGAATTAAAACATTTTCTCCACGATAAAGGAATAGTTACCAGTAGAACAACAGCATACAACCCCCAATCAAATGGACAGATTGAACGTCTCAACGGCACTCTCTGGCTCACTGAGTAAATTTTCGATTTCCAGCTTGATGAAATGTTCATCTGAAGTGGAATGTCTTCGTGATTTTGTAGCGATCGGAACACATTTGGGTGTTAGGTTATGAAACAAGGGAGGTGGATCAATATGTGCAGCAACAAGATTACACAGTGAAAATGGATTGTTTTTACCTTCAAATGGAATTTCGAGTTTATTATGCAAGCGTAAAAAATCATGACCTAATAGCACATCAGCACACAGATTTGGCAACACTGAAAGTTTGATATGTGAGTAACTCGAGTCTTTATAACGTAGATTTACATAACAGTGACCATGAGTATGAGTTGTCAGACTTGTGGAAGCCATTGTGATTGAAGTGCGAGAATGCTCTACCTTTGTATGTTGTTTTTGAACGACTGCACAAGAAATATAACTGTCTGAGCTCCCAGTATCTACGAGGGCTTGTAGGGGAATGTCATTTACAAAAAGCTGCACAACCGCATTGGAGAGAGACTGTGGAGCGGCGGCTAGAGTCATGGAAGACAACAAAGAACTAGTAACTGATGTAGTTTTGGTGTACGATTTTGACCGGCAGACCTTCTGATAATGCCCCTTCTTACCACAGAGTTTGCATACTGCATTCCTTGCAGGACATTTAGAGCGAGGATGTCTAGTAAATCCACAGAAGTAGCATTTCTCATTTATTGAAGCAGTCAATCCTGTTTCACCCACATAAGAGTTTAGTTCATTTGATGTATCACTGTTTGATATTGCAGCAGAATTGGAGAATTCGGAAGGATGAAACGAATGTGATTGTCGATAAGCCATTTCTAGGGATCGAGCTTGTTCATAAGCAGTATCAAGATCAAGTAATTTGTTTTCCAGAAGACGTTGTCGTATATTATTAGATTGCATTCCACTTATGAATGCGTCACGTATTGCATCATTCTGATTTTGTTCAGCCGAGACAGGTTTGAATGAACAATCTTTTGCCAGAGATTTCAGTTTTTGTAAAAATTGGTCGAGGCTCTGTCCAGTTTCTTGTTTGCATGTGGATAATAGATGTCGAGCAAAAATCTCGTTCTTTGGTTTGACATACAGTTTCTCAAGAGTACTAAGAGCGCCGTCAAATGTTTTACATTCAGCAATGTATTCATATACAGTAGGTGAGATATAGTTGATGAGAACATCAAGTTTGTCTGAATCTGGAGTTGAAGATTTAGTGATAAAAGTATTGAATGTACGAAACCAATGATTCCAAATCTTCGAAGATGTTTGGCAATTGGAATCAGCATCAAAGCGTTCAGGACGTAATATCTTGTCCATAATAAAACGAATAAATTGTAGTGTTTATGAGTTAATCAAACATTCACCGATCAAGTGAGAATATTGAGGGCCCGCAATAAAGGCTTTATTCGTTTTATAATTCCAGTATCGAATCTGGTTTAAACAAAAATGAAAGATGTGAATAGTGTATAATATAAATGCTAAACGTTTATGAAAATGTTCACACCACAATAGGTATCTGGTGATACTTATCGCCAATGCCTTTTCCATCTCTTTCGCTTTTGTCGCCCACCACTGTTCACGGTCGTTGCGAAGACTTCTTGTTAGTTTGCGTTTGAGCAGCTTTCGCTCCTCATCATATTCGGAGTTCACCAGAATCAGTCTTCTTGTGTCAATCAGTTCCGGTGAGGTAGTAGAAATGCACTAGCTCTTACTAACATTTAGTTTTATGTTATCAGTAGCCTTTACAGGTGTATCTACAGCTAAACTGTATGTTGTACCAGGCTACCTCATAAGGAGTCTTGCTGTCGACCTCAGATACTCATTTCACTATTTCCTCCTTGAATGGAGACTTAGTGTCTCCGCCTAGTTGAGTAAATAACTGCTTCGCTGCCAACAATCTTTTATGTCTATTTACTCGAAAGCATAAACGTGTGAGAACCAGAGCGTGATCGGAGTCTACTCACGTGTTCCAGAAGGAGTGGCAGTCTTCTACTGACCCTCGCCAACGAAACCCCATCGCTACATGGTCTATTTGAGTCCAACGTTAATTTGGTGATGGAGGTCTCCAGGTTAGGCAATGTCTGTCTTTGTGCCTAAAGTTAGTCCTCACTAGGAACAGATAATTATCTGAACAGAACTGTTGAAGACAATCTCCGTTGTCAGTTCGTCAACAGGGAACTCCATACGTACCACCTATGTACTTCCCAGTCTGGCACAACTTCCCTACTTTGTCATTGAAGTCGCCTGCTAAAACAACTTTATCTGAACGTTTTGCTTTTCGCAGTAAACTGGACAGTTTCAGGTAGAAATCATCCTTCAGTTCATCCGAACTGCAGACTGCGAGGAGACAACGACGGGTAACGCCGTCCTTCCTTCTAACGAAACCGTTCAAACAGACTATCTACTGGGATCCAGTCAAGAAGTGATTTATCTGCACTAACACTCAATGATATCCCTACACCTGAAAGTCTTCCAGAACTATCTCAGGAGTCTCCTGACATCCTCAAGGTGAATTTCGCAGATTCGCCTTGTTGGCCGAGTGTGGTTAAGTGAATAACCACACTCAGGTCTTGTATGCGTATCTCCGAAACACCACATACATCCATGGCTCAAGATGCCACAGTTCTTGCTAGGGATGCCTGTTGTCCGATTTGGAAGAGGGTCGTCACTTTAAATGCTCCAATATGAAGTTGGCGGAGTGGCTTTAAGAGGCTATCGGTGGTGTCTCTATGACTCTCATCGTTGTTTGTGGTCACAGAATTAAATGAAGATGACTCACTAGCCTGCAGAATAATAGTAACAGTAGGAGGATAACATGATGATGAGGGTAACAGATATAACGAAGTGATGATCAGGAGGGCTTCGTATGCTTTTGGAAGTGTGTGGGTGGTTGTTACATCCTTGTTGCCCACACCGTGGAAGTTGATGTATTCTTGGGGTACGTGAAACAGAAAGGTAATTGGTGTTGCGTGACCACAGAGCCCAGGGGACAACCATTTGAGACTGGTCACACACGGCCTGTCTGAACTGGCTTCTTGGATTGGCTCCGTATTAGTAACTTACCTCTGGCTACGGAACACCGTGTAGGGTAATTCGGGATGTACAATTTTTGGTGTCGACCTTTTCTAATCCCCTCTCTCCAAAGTGGAGACAGCATAGCTGGTTGGCATGCTGGTCATCTGAAGGAAACAGCTTACTACTGTTACATCCCTGTTCCCCAGCAATACGACTTTGTCCACAGACCCCCAGCATAGTGTAATAAAACTGCTGTTAGTCGAATTGCTATCCTAACAATCTTCCTGGCATGATAGGACCTGCAAGAACACTAGTTTCAGCCAGTGTAGCTTGTTATGTCATTGGAATGTGCAAGCCCGACCACCACGTTAAGGTAGCAGCTATCAGTCAGGCTAGAAAACGATTCGTGGAAAACTAAATTTCTTCACTGTTATGTCTTTTGTGTATAAATATATATGAGTCGTTTTGTAAAGTATTTGTATGAAGAAAAGGTGGAACGATCCGTGACCATTAGACTTATCATAGATGAGATTTATTCTCAGTCATAAGTTTTTACAATTCATAAACTGTAAATTATATTTCTCCTTTTTGTGTAATTTTTCTTAAAGTTTTATATCCTAATGATATTGTAGATTGATTTTGAGTTCAATGAAACGAAGTATGATTCTAGCAATCCATTGGTCCTGCTTGGAAACAATGAGTCACAATCTAAAGGAAAACAAAAGCCAGATTCTATTAAAGTTGTTCAGAAACAAATTTTGTCAAAAAAGCGAAGGAAGGAGTTAGAGCGCAAAGTTGCTCAAAAGGAAAAGAAGTTATCGGTAATGTTATGTTACTTTGATTGTATTTAGTTTCTAGCGTTCGGAATTGTGGAAGGAATTAGAGCAGTACAAAAAATCTGAGACTGCCCCACCTGTATCTGTGTTACCTCTGTTCAACAAGCTTAAGAAGACAGAGAAACGAGTACATAAGTAAATTTTCTACGCTAGTCTTAATTTTTCTAGTTCAAATATTAAAGGAAAGTCGTGGAAACGGGAATGCCGTGAATTGTCAGATGCTTCGAAGTCTACGGACGAGTATAGCAGTGATGAGTCTGTTCCGGAGACGGCAAATCCAAATGACACCGTCATTTCAGAAGAGTGCCCAAATAAGGATGATACTAACCCATCTACCCAAAACAGTACTGAAAACGAGCGTGAAACTGAGGTGGTTCAGTCGGAAAATACTTCCAAACCTGCTAGGTTTGTTTTAGTTTCACGGACACCAGAAGTAGTAACATCCCGTCTCGCACTCCCCATATTATCGGACGAAGCGAGCATCATGGAAAGTATCAGTGAAAACGATTGTGTTATAATCTGTGGGGCCACTGGGTGCGGTAAAACTACACAAGTCCCACAGTTCCTATATGAGGCAGGATATGCAATGTAAGTGTCCTATAAGGCTTATTGATTATTTTCCGCAAACTACTTTAATTAAATGCCAATGATTTCGCAATATAAATATATTTATAGACGTGACAAAATCTAGATTTTTTTTCCAGTATGATTTGTACTCATGGTTATCGGGTTCATGCCAACAACTAGATTTCGTCTCTAGGCATTTACGGTTAATATTTTTTCACATTGCATTTCGTCTACCAAACACTTGTAAATTTCTATCAAGTTCATGTTGTCTCAATGTACCGTCATTATTATACTATGCGTACCTTATTTCCATATGCAGTGATTAGTTTAACATCATGAATGTCATATGCATGAACATTACATTTTGAACTATTAGGTATGTTTTAAATACTGGATTTGTCTGTAGGAACTTTGTATAACTACTGATTTCGAAACTGTAGAAATGTTCACCGGCTGACAACTTACCTTTGTATAGTTCATGCTTGATTATCTTCATGTAGTCTTAGGTTGAATTTTAGCGCCTTTGTAAATGTACTGTTACTGGGATACTGTCAGGACACCGAGACTGATGCAGATGGGCTTCTTTTTGAACTACCACCGGGTCTTTGACTTAAAGCCTAATATACAGAGCAGCAGAATGACGTCAGGAGCGGTGTTCTGATAGTCCCGGCCCCATATAATAAATCACTTGAAAACAAAAACTAACTTCATGAAATAATAACTGATACTCGCTGTGCAAGAGGTAGCTCTCATGGCCTAGTTGATAACTCTTAGGCTTTTGAAATAACGGGTACTGGCTGGATTTCAATCTCAGTGGGAACACCATCGTTCACTGTGCACGCAGGTGCATAAAGCTGACGACTCACAAATAAAATGAAATTGTGCATCCTAGATTCTAGTGCTAGTCACCATCAACCAAATAATTTCTTATTTTAAAATTTATAATTCACATTGAAATGTATGGCTTCTGGACTAAAATATTTCGCTATAATATATATATATATCACTAATTAATCATTTTTATTTTTAGGGAAGGGTATATGATTGGGATAACGGAGCCACGTCGTGTAGCCGCAATATCAATGGCACGTCGAGTTGGTGAGGAATTAAATTTAACACCTAGGTAAATTAATAATAGATATTTTTGTATTCATTTCTACTACCACTTTATTGTTATAGCCTCTCAGTTTGACTTACACCTCTTACAGCACATCCTTAAAAAGAAGAGTTATAGAGAACACAGTATTCCATGTTTGATATGTCTTGATCGCCACTTAATTTTGAATAAAATCCTAAAGAGGTTAGTCCTTTAACAGTAGAAGCTACGATGTGTTATCATATTTACTGAGGTATGGCTTATGCATTTATGTTTCGACCACTTATGGGTGCACCAATTGAATTTGGTGCAGCTGAGTTTAGGTTTCAGATGCTTAGGGATATCAATCAAACTGCCAATTTTAATCACTCACACCGTGTTGGTTGTGAGGTTGTCGTACTGAGAAAGTGAATAGTAACAAAAACGGTTAAGTTGATAATCGAAATACCAGAGAATTGATTTGAATTCTGAAGGCACATTTCTACTGCTAAAGAAGTACAATAGTAGTGTAGTGTTTCTTGAATATATACCGTATCATAAACTGATATTGCACTTTGTTAAAATAACTCACGAAAAGAAATATAAAAATATACATCTACCCAAATGAACCTGTTGTCAAAAGGCGTGATGTCAACACAGTTTCGAATACAAAAATTCCCACAAGAACGTTTGTATGATCTGTTTTAAGCAGCTATCTCTTGCCCTCCATACTGAAAATGCTAGCTTGACATCATAGTCGGACCACTGAATGGTGAATTTACGAGCAATATTTAGATTAAGATAGAGACAGCAGCTACTATCCTCTATGAAATTAGCACAAGTCTACTTTATTTGAAATTTCCCCTGAGTTTAGAACTAACATTTTGGATTCTGAAAATTTCAGTATTGCTTTCGTTAAATCTCATTCCAGATTGGTACTTATTTAGAGTGATCATGTACAACTGATAATGTCTGTTGAAATAGGATTAAACTGAAGAAAGGCTCAAAGTGGCCAGAACAAGATATTTGACCAATTCATGAAGTTTCTGGTTACTATTTTGAACTGTGAAGTAACTGCTAGATTATCTGGTTTAAATCGAAGATTACAGCTTCAGCTACTGTTCTTGAGCTTATTTCATTCACAGTGACTCATTTGCATAGATTATCTAAATTATGACCTCACATTCATCCTCTCTACATTACATTTACATTCATTGCTTCTCTCTCTCTCTCTCCCATTTGTTACTGTTCACGGACAGATTTGGAATGTGGTTTAGAGTTCAAGTAGGTCATCGTATCATTATCATTTAGTTGTGTAAAGTGAACTAAGTCAATTGCAATTTATTGTGAGTCCTAACCAATATCCATCTTTAATTCTTCACAAGTGAAAGTTAACGATTTTAGAATCACTGATTGATGAACATAGTCTTAGTCCCTTCAGTTGGTTTGAATTCAATAATCATTAGTACTTGTCTTTGGCGTAATGTATCTTTAACTAAAATGTGAAAATATCCTGGCCGCATTGATTCTCTAATATTGAGCAATGTAATCTGTCTTTAGATAGTGTTAAATATTATCATATTTTAGATCGATATCTCCTGAGGATTGTACTGCAGTGTAGTAGTTGAAATCTGTCCCAAAATGTGTCATCCAACTATTTCTGTGCTTATTTCAATATCAATAGAGCCTTAATGTAAATCTACTAAGCACTAAATTATTTCTGATATCTTATTTAGCCAAGTATCTTATCATATTCGGTATGACAAGGAAGTGACGAAAGAAACAATGATAAAATTCATGACAGATGGGATCCTTTTGCAGGAAATAAAACAGGTAATTCATTTTTGAGCATATTTTTAGATAACTGAGAGCAGAAAAGAGTAAAATCTTTGTTTCAGCTCTAAAATATCATCGTAGATCCCACTCGTTTTTAAAATTCAAAGTATTATTTTTTGTGGTTTTTATCTATGTTACTCAATTTTAAGAAACTCTCCACTTGAGCGTCATAGATGAGATGATTGCATTAAGGAAAGGAAAACCTGTTGAGGTGAAGGGTATAGCGACATTAATAGGTCATCATGGCCGCTAAATAGTAAACTTGCATATCTGAGGGCGCTTTCAATGGCGTCTTATTGGCTGTTAGGTTGTACCTTTGTTATTCATCACAACTTCACTTATTGATAATCTGTTTTATTCTTTTATAGTTTAGTGATCATGTATTTGTTCTTTTGTTTATTTCCTTTTCCACTGATATTTGATTGTTCATTGCTTCCGAAGATGTGTAAAATGTGATTAACTATGTACAGCGTTGTATACTAGATATTGAATCTCATGTATTCTGTGAAGCAAAGTGTATTATTATTATTATTATTTTATTCCTTTGCGTTCCGAGTGGAACATAGGAAGTACGAATTGTTAAAAATCTGTCAAGTTGTGCTTGGTTTGGTGGGAGTGCGGATTATGCGTCGGTGGCTTAGCGGTAGAATGCTCGCCAACCACGTATGTGGTCCGTGGTTCGATCCCCGGTCGTCGCATTCCTTTACCTCGCTAAGCCGCTAACAAACCGCTAATAAGGGAAGGTTGGGCATGAGACTAGCAACCCCTCTCCGTAAAAATAGACACCACTGCTACTGAAACTTCGAAGCTCTAGCTTAAAGCCCTATGATCTACTGGGATCGTAAAGGAATAAAATGAATAATAAATGGAACATAGGGCTTCAAGCTTGGACCTTGGAGTTTCAGTAGCAGTTATGTTTTTCTACGGGGTGTGGTTCCTAGCCTCACACCTAACCCCCATTTTTGTCGGGCGTACAAACGGCTAGGGGAGGTAAAGGTGTGCGCCGTCTGGGAATCGAACCCCGAGCCATGTAAATGATTGGCAAGTATTCTACCACTGAACCACCGACGCACGAAGCAAAGTGTGATACCGATTTATTGCAAGCGTATTAATAACTTATAAGCGACTGTTTGATATTCAGGACTTAAACGACTCATCTACAGATTATATTATCTCTGATGTATATCTGAAACAAATATATTTCTGGACTATCTCTACATGCTTTAATTGTAAGGGGATTGTGCAACTAGATTCAACAATTCAAGCTTGTAAAGGGTTTGTGTCGTGTTTTTAGTTGGTGTTTGCTTCGTGTTATTTCGTGTGCGAATCATTTTAAACTAGTGGATTTACTCTGTTTCGTTATCTAGCAAGTATGTCACGAGGAAAAGTACATTTATATACTCTCTCATCGTATTCTGAAGTAAATCTACTGCTGTTTCGGTAAACATAACACTATTGCTCTTCTGAAACAACTAATTTTACTTCCTATAAACTGAATAAGCGACGGATTAACACTATTGAGTCTGTAAATTTGTCTGAAACTCCTTATTTCTTTGTTACGTGTTCACATTTTTCTAAACTGAATTAGTCAGTTTACTACTTTACTATCAGTTGGATTGTATTCATCAAGCCATTGGTGAAGTATTACAGATGCATTCACCCGATTAATAGTTGAACTTTACTCTTTTGTATGTAAACTTCTAGAGGTATGACTCATTATCTTAAACTCAGCTACTTACTGGCTTTCATTACACTGTCTATGTAGAAATTTAGAAATCGGTGCCGTACCTTTTACTTTTAAACCGTACGTAACATATCAGCGGATATACAAGCGTTTAAATTTTTTGTTATATAATCTTTTACTGCATTTTTTTGCCTTGAGTGCTAACAAATAAGTTGTTAGATTGAACCTTACTTTCTCTAATTTTTTAAAAGGACTTTGAACTATCACGATATTCTGCCATTATAGTAGACGAGGCCCATGAACGTTCAATTTACTCTGATGTGATTTTGGGTCTAATATCCATGATTGTGCGTCTACGTCGACGGAGGTTTACGGAAAATATACCGACAAATGGTAAAGTTTTACTACCTCTAAAGCTGATTATCATGTCTGCAACTTTGAAAGTGAACGATTTTTCAGAAAACCGTCGTCTTTTTCCACAATCCCCTCCACCAGTCATCCATGTTGAATCACGCCAGTATCCTGTAACGTGTCATTTTGCTAAGTCAACAAATCCAGATTATCTGAAAGCAGCATTTCGTAAAGTGAGTAGTTGTGTTCACCTGTGACATTTAAATGTATCACTGTATCTAAGACATTGTAACTATATTTGTACAATAATTTAATACTTCCCATGGTAACATTAAGAACACAGTATTCAACGAAGAGACTCTTGTCTATGAATCTATTTTCACACTGTACAATCGTATATATATTATTATCCCATGAGGAAATTTAAACAAAGAAATGAATACTTAAAATAATAATGTGAAATGCAGTTAAAATGTTTGTGATTACAATCATGTAACGACGGAAGGTAGGAGAATTGGTAGCGGACTTTTTTATTAAGGAAAAACACTTCATATTTATACATTTTTAACCACATCAAAAGTCGGTTAGGTCACTGGACAATAACTTGTTCTGATTGATTGGTGGCCCAAGGTCTAACGAGGTTATCCAATGAGATTATCTCACAACCACAGCGTTAACTAAATACAGATTTGATGATTAAACATTTCTACCTCTGCAGCCATTGACGTAAAAGGTTGATTTCAGTTGTTGGCAGCCTCCTGTCAATCTGCACACACCACAATCATAGTTAAATCACAATTGGTAAAGCAAATAATGTCATATGTAGAATAGTTCATAGAATGTATAGATGTTGGAAAGGAATTTAAAATTATAGGATTAGTAGACAGTCGAAACATTACTTGACATGATGTGAAGTTTGTTAAGATAGAATTAACATTGCGAAAAATTTATTGTTTTAAAATAATAAATGGGGCAGGTAAAATAATACCGGAAACAGCTCAAATGAGACTAATGCTGACAATAGTCGTAGGGAAAGGTACATAAATTCAGTAAATAAACAAAGTGAAAAATAAACAAATGTTTATCCCACTACGGTCAAGGTAGAAATAGGGACTGTACATACTTCTTTTGTACATAAAGATCTGGCTTGAATTCATGATCTTCATGGATTAGTACAAGTAGAATACTTCGTGTGACAGATTGTAATGAGGCAAATTCATGCTCCGAATGTAGTTGTATGAGCGTTTGAAATGAAAACTTTCTTCAAACCAAGATTTTGCATTATTCAGGTTGTATTTGTGCATAAAGATAGTTCACAGACTAGTGAATCATACTGTTTCCAAATTTTTTTATGATTCATTTATTGGTGCCAGCTGTCTTTTTAATGTAGATCATATATGGATTCGCTTCCCCAGTAAAATCTGTATCCATCAAAATTTTATTTTACTAGGTAGTATCGATTCACAAAACTTCACCACCTGGTGGAATTCTGGTGTTTGTCACCGGTCAGCAGGAAGCAAATACACTTTGCAGTTGGCTTACAAGAGCGTTTCCAAAGATAAATGAGCATTCACCTAACTCAGTAAATGAAAAGTCTAGTAAAGTTGATGGACATTCAAAAAAGCAAAGGAAATTGCCAAAAGAAACTCACAAGTCATCTGTATCTGCAGATAATTCAAATGATTGTGGGAATGTGGGTGTAGAAGAAAGTGATCGTGTTACCTCATGCATTGATTTGAACAAGTTAGTAATTATTCGGAAAGTTGGTTATAGATTTATCTTCATATTTTACTAAATTTATTTGTGCGACTTAGCTTACTATGTGATCTTCAGCATGCTTCTGAGATACACTGTAGAGTTATCTAATTACATTTATGGTTTTTCATCCTATATAACTTGTATATGCTAAATTGAATTCACAATTGACGGCTTGTTTCAATACAATGCTGTTAACTATTTCAAACGTATTCATATATGAACTTTATCACATATTGTTTTTCTGATTACTTTCGTGAATTAAGAACTATAGCATGCTTGCTGATTGCCTAAATTGGAAGTTACACTCAGACACGATTATGAATCACGTATACCATTTTGGGAATATTGGTTCTAGTCTTCAAATTAGTGACCTGTATCCACATAACTGATATCACATTATTCAGAATAGTAACTTGTGTGCTAAAGCTTAAGAGAACAACGAATAACACTCTGTTCCTTTAAACAATACAAATTCACAATATATTGCTGATGCAAGGAGTAACTGAATTCTCAAATCACATTCACAAGTTTTTATAAACAAAATTAGGTTAGGGGAAATCATTATTCTTGGTGAACTACCTCTATCTTGTGACTGTTGCATCGACTTATAATTTATTTCCTCGGTATAAGTGCACGTGGTGAGGGTTCAAATCCCAGTCGACACACTGCTAAACTTTTCTCAGACGATAGTTAACCCAGTAAAGAAGGAACGTTGGGCGTGAGGCTGGCAACCCCACCGCCACTGGAACTTCACAGTTCAAGCTTGGAGCCCAATGTTCCACTTGGAACGAGGAGGATTTAAAAAAATCTTCAGTATAATCGCAGAAATATTTCAGTCGCCTGGTAAAAATTCTCCTAAATACGAGGAAACTGTGAACATATTTAACGTTTTATCAATTTGACAATTTATCAGTTGCTCTTATTCGCGGTTTAAGAACCATAAGCCCCATATATATATATATATATACCTTTAAATATGATTGAGGGCTTCATTCTGATGTTAGGATTAATACGCAAACCGTCAGCATAAAATAGTTCTTTGCAAATTTATAGCAAAATAAGCATTTCAGTAAGAGAATTTTATTACAGTTTCAGTTACAATTATCATCTACTGTTTCAAGAATAAACTCCCCTATTTAATTGAAGATATTCATTGCTTACGTATGAGTTCCGTTCGGTGGGATATTTTTATTGTTGCTAATTTTCATTCTTATCCCACCTTTTTTGTTAGTTTCGACATTATTCCTGCTGACGAGGAGACGGAAATTGGTCATACTCGTGTTCACCGCAAAAGCATAGTAAAAGAAGAAAAGAAACTAACTGAATATAAGAAAGACGAAGCAGATGACAGTGAAGTGGAGGAAATTGATGATGATGACGATATCCTTGAACAAATTAGTCGAACACGTAGTGAGTCTTATCCTGTGAGTTGAAGAGCTTTTTATGTACAATGCACACTTATATCTAGCTGACATCAGTTAGAGAACCATTGGAAAACCTGGTAGTACTGGACAGCTGTTTCGTCCTAGTTTGGGACTCTTCAGCAGTACGCACCCACCGGGATTCGAACCCAGGACCTTCTGGTTACAAGGCGAGCTCGTATACCATTAAGCCACTGGGACCTGATCCAATGGCCCATGAATTCTAACTTCTGCCGATTCACGACATAGCGCGACCCCTAGCCAATGTCTTCGGCGAGTATTTGTCCTCACGCCCGACCTGCTGCACCCTACTGGTCACGACTTCTCACTAGAACCCCAGGTGACTACCCACCTGAATAGGGCAAGTCGCTAGTGAGCATCTCATTGATTTTCAAGTGTTGGTTTGTAGGGACTGGGCTTAATGGTATATGAGCTCGCCTTGTAACCAGAAGGTCCTGGGTTCGAATCCCGGTGGGTGCGTACTGCTGAAGAGTCCCAAACTAGGACGAAACAGCTGTCCAGTACTCCTAGGTTTTCCAATGGTTCTCTAACTGATGTCAGCTCATGATGAAATCCTGTAAACAATCAAATCCCTACAAACCAACACTTGAAAATACACTTATGTTATATTTGTTAGTTCTTTCTGAAGCACATGACAAGTACAGTCTGTCTGTCTATTTGACATAGGACTTTGCACCGATGTGCGGCAGTTCAAGTCGCCACACTCCATGTAGCACACAAAACAAGAGAAGAAAGTAGGAGAAATGCATAATATAGACAGTAAACAGAGGTGTGAGACAAAGGAATAGTGATATCGAAGAACAATATAGTTTCATTGGAAATCATAAGTCACAAGGAGTGGATGCATCTGCAAGCCATTGAGAACGATTTTGAGCCATATCACCAATTGTTTCCAACCATTGGTTTTTACCGTCCCGAGGACCCCAACCAGGAAGTCTACACCTTCCTACGTGGCTGGCTTAGACTAGCTGTTGTGGATTTCATTGACTGGTGCCATGTTTTGGTTTGACCGCCGCTAGCTCTTTTCCAGCCTGACTCTATATCAGCTAACATTGCCCGTCGAGGAAGGCGATGACTAGGCATACGTAACACATGTCCTAACCATCTCAGTCGATGTAGCCTCGTCGATTGATTTCCCCTCCTTACCTAGCACTCGATGCCTAACCTCAATATTGCTCACCTTATTATACCACTTCACACGGGAGATAGAACGCAGGCACCTATGATCAAAGACAGCTAATCTTTTCATGTCTTTCACTCTTAATGGCCAGGTCTCACTCACAGTGATAAAGGAGGACGGAGCGGACTGCTGAGCAGTACACACGCCCTTTGGTCGATAGTCGGATATCACGTCTACGCCAGAGACGGCGTAAACTGGCATATGCGAATAATATTAGTGGATATTTATGTATTTTGATTTTGTGTTTTTTATAGGGTCCACTGTATGCACTACCTTTTTATTCATTGTTGCCTCCTGAACGTCAACAAAATGTTTTTCAACCACCACCTGAGAATCATCGTTTGGTTGTGGTTGCGACCAATGTAGCTGAAACCTCACTTACTATCCCGAATATACGTTTTGTCGTAGATACAGGCAAGGTGAGTCATCAGTGATTTTCTATGCTATTATGAGTAAAATTTATTTTGATAAAGTCTCACAAGCACAATATATTGCAATAAATTGTGCTCAAAACGTCATCAGTAAATATTACTGTATAACACTGTGAGACTTTATCAAAATAAATTTTACCCATAATGGAATTATACTCTACTACAGTGCACAAGTTTCATTCTTATATCAATGATTTTCTATGCTATTTTATTATTTCATGGTATTGTGTGTTGAAGCAGATTTCTTTCTGTTCGTACATTAATTAATTAACTTTGTAATTGTTACCGTCGCTACAGTTTTGTATTTAATATTATCGGTTAAGTTACTCGAGTCACAAAATAATGAATTCAGAGGGGAAGTAGTCATTACTTGTCAACACTACCTTGAGAACCACTGTTTTGAGGCAGAGTTCCAGGCATCTGTTAGTAAATTCTTGGTAATAAGTATTGCAGTCTGAATAATTTAAGGTCACCCATAAGTTTTCTTTTCGAGATAGTTTGGTTTAACATTTTCTCTCTTAGTTTACCTTCAATAACTTTTTAGATATTCCACTAAAGATTATCTGTCATAGTAATACAGGGGTAATTTCCAGAGAAAGACCTCAGGAGAAATGTATCTAAACCCTTTGGAAACGGTGACCAATCTTCGACAGTTTGGTATATGATTCATACTATATACGTGGAAATCACTTCGATGAGATTGACAGTCAACTTTGCTCGAACTGCTGTTACTGCTTCTACTACCACTAATAATAATAATAAACTTATGAAACGAAGCAATCTTGTTCTAAAACTGGAGTTTCCTCTGGTCTTTTTTTATTCCTTTACGTTCCCAGTGGAACATAGGACTTCAAACTAGATACTTGAATTTTCGGTAGCAGTGGTGTTAATTTTTACGGGATGGGGTTGCTAGTCTCATGCCCAACCTACCCTCTATACCAGTCTAATTACTGACTTCGAGAGGTAAAAGAATGTTTCGGCTAGGGATCGAACCCCGGACCACACGTGTGGGGTTGGTGAGCATTCTACCGCTGTGCCACCGACATGTTTTGCTCTAATATTATTATCGTCATTTCCCATTCATAGTTCTGTAGTACTTTCACTTTGTTATATGGGAGAACAATAAGCAAAAAAAAGATTTAGATGATATAATTTGATTGAGGCTATACAACTTAATTTATAGAGTAAGCTGGCAAAATGGCAAGACTTTATCATGGGCTAACAGTTTGATGAGTCATTTACCTGTGTAAATTTCCATATACCAATTCATACTATTGGTCTTTAAGGCTATCTGCAATAATCACTCCCTTAGCCTATCTGTTATCATGTGTTTGAATGGACTAAGATACTTTTTTGACTGTTACTTTTCCAATTTCGATGACTACTTATTTCAGAAGACATTTTGTTTGACTAGAAATACTTATATTTTCTTGATTATAAAAGCTTTCATTTTATTTTTTTGTAAGTGTGTGATTCCGTTTTTGTAATTAATTCATTTTAATTTTGTTTTAATTAGTCCTGTGGTACAATATATTACATTTCTACTAGTACTGAGTACTATTAGTATATATCACTTAACCGTAATTAAAATGTTAACGTTTGTGACAATTCTAAAGTTTGTCTCATGTTATTTCTCATACAGGTAAAAACTAAGGTGTATGAACCAGCAACAGGGACTTCCAGTTTTGAGATCATATGGATTAGTCAAGCATCTGCTGAACAGCGAGCAGGAAGAGCTGGTCGTGTTGGTCCTGGTCATTGTTACCGTTTGTACAGTTCACAGATATTTTCAAGCATGAAACAGTTTTCCGTTCCTGACATTCTTGTTCGCCCAATTGACGAAGTTGTTTTAATGTTAAAGGTAATTCAATTTTGTCAACGTTTTTGGGGTAAATTAGCCTCTGTATGTATGATTATAACCTCATTATATTTCCTTTTAGTATCTGAACTTATGATAATCTTAATTTTAATCGTAGCTTAAAATATGAAGCAGTCAACATCGTGGGCTTTTTTTGGCAAAGAGAAAAGAACTTTTATTCTTCCTTTTCGCATATTTCAGCGTCCTGTTAGCTTTTATCAGAAGGGAGTGATGTGCTATCAAAAAAGGCGGATGTAGTCTTACAAGCTGTTCGGTTATTCAAGTACCCACTATTAAAAATAAATCTAGATTTGGATATGATTATCCTGCTGTATTTTAACAGCTTAGTAAAATGCATTCAGACGCATATTCGCATCGATATTCATATTGTCTATTTTTATAATGAGGTCACCTAACGAACCACTTAAGTTGGCTACAAGGCGAATCAGAAGCATAACAAAATGAGCCTATGGAAGTCGATCTGTCACTTAAATAGTTTTGTGCTGAACAATCATTGAACATGTGAAATGAAATGTTATGCAAACGAAGACTCTCACAGTACGCTCTTCACCAAGCAAGTTTAACAACTGGTTATCAACTGCGTCATGCTTACACTTTTATTTGTATTAGCCTCAAGTTCGACTCATTTAAACTCTGTTTTACATGTTAGTGTATTCCTTAATTATCATATTTTGATCTATTAGTAATCATGATTCTGCTGACACTGAACCAGTTTCTTTTAATACTTTCGGAACCATTGTAAGATGTAGTTCAAATTTTAGTGTGTAATTTAACTTGTTATCTTTTTTGTTTTGACCAGTTGTATTTGGGAAGTACAAAGCTTTCACTTTTCCCTCTACCTACTCCACCATCCACTCAAGCGATCGAGGCTGCTGAACGTCGTTTGCTTGCTTTAGGTGCTCTGAAGGAAGTTGAAAATGCCACAGGAGGTGAGCTAAATGCAAATTTCTTTTTAACTGTTAATTTCATTGGTGTAATGTATATATGTCTAACTTACTTTAACGGTTCACTTTGTTTTAGGTCAATCTCGTACAATTTCAGACGCTGGGAAGTGGATGACGAGAGTTCCAGTGCCTGCACGCTTTGCACGGATGTTACTATTCGCAAATCAATGTCATCTAATGCCGTATGCTGTGATACTAGTTGCTGCTTTATCTGTACCGAATCTGTTTGTATCACAGACTTCGGATACGCCATTTTTATCGGAACAGGAAAAGACATTTCAGTCTAACTTCGTCCAGCAATTTGTTAGAAATGTGAGTCTTAATTATTTGTTGTTTTTATGTTTTTTGATGGCGTCGAAAAGTTGTATTGATATATATGTATATATATTTCCCCAGAAGTTTGAGTATACGTATATTGTCTTCTGTGGTAGTCGAAAGCAGACATCTCATCTCGCTTAAACTCCAATTGTATCTACTAGTTCAAGTAGATGTCAGATCATGTACATGTGAGAACAGAAAATAAGATTTTCATGGACATTTCTGAATATACTTTCGTGATAGGATCAACATGCACTAAATAGCTCAATGGTTTGTAGCCTAATCAACCTAATGTCACATATCGCAAACAAGTAATGTATTTTCCAACGTAGGTGTTTCAACGTATTTTATTAGTTGAGTCATATCTGAAGTGTGAAATAGTTCCACAACTTTCTGTTTTTCAGTAGGCCACTATTGAAAAAAAGTCTCCTTTGAATGAATCTGATGAACTTTGTTGACGTTATTTTATTCCTGCTCGGTAAAACTGATTCCAAATGTGATCATGCAAAACCCTAGCGTTGTGGTAAATAGAATTCAGGGCCAGGCTTTGTTTGTAGTCAGCAATTTGTTGATTCCTGGCTAGGCATCAAAAAGATTTTTTGCAACAGATGATTTTCTTTTCAACTAATTAAGTCAATATTTTTCCAATGCATTGTCACATTTTGTGTCTAGTTGTCAGGATGTAATAATTAGCTGTTGACCATCCGATTATGTATATTTTTTTGCAGAAAGAAGATCTGTATCTTGGGGACCTTGCAGTACTTTTAGGTACAATATGCTGCCTAGAGCGCTATGCAGCTCAACTTAGTGGCTTGATACCTGCAGAGCCCGGGATAATAGAATCGGTTGGTGGAAAAACTTATGTTTCACGTGATCCCGAAGGTGCATTACGACAACTGGCACAACGTTGTGGTGTTCGATGGAATGCATATAAAGAAATCCGACAACTTCGTAAACAACTTACTGATATTTGTAAGTTTTTGTTTTTAGGATGCATTTATTTGAATATATAAAAAACTAGTTAAGTTCGTAGTGTACACGGTTTTCTAAAGCATTACTTGAAGTATTTTAGGACAAAGTGAATTTACACCGTTTGGTGTTTTAAGTTACCAGTATACTGATTTATTACTTAAGTTAATTAATGTACATTTTTACAATCAGGTTTTCAGTAATTTACTTTATCTCTTTCCAAAGGTCCACAATCCACTTTTTTTGTAGTTTGAAAGTAGTTAAAATGACTGACCCACTGCTACAGAAACTTCAAGCCACTAGCTTGAAGCCCTATGTTCCACTGGGAACGTGAAGGAAAAAAAAATGACTGATGGTAATCATCGAGCTGGCAAGAATTTAAAATTATTACTATGACGACAAATCAAAGAAAATATTAGTGACTAGTCAGAATAAAGTCTATTCTTACTAACTCAATGTTTGATGAAGAGTTACAGGTAACCTAATGTAGGCTTAAACAACTAATATTTTTTAAAACTACTTTTGAAAGTAAGCAAAACTACTATCAAGACAGACAGTCTGCACAGAGTGAATTAATGAAGGCTGTCTCACAATTTACACAAAAACACTTATTAAAACTTATTTCCTCTGTTAATCATTGAATATATTTTTCAATGAGGCTGTTAATATGTTAAACCAACATCTCTGATCAATTGTTAAACATAAGAATATCAATTGTTTTTAATATATATGAATTAGTTATTCCCACTATCACTGTTCTTATTCATTTTCGTTATACTGATGAATGTAATGCTAGTGTAGTTCAATTTTTTAACAATCGGTTTGCTATCAAGGGTCTTTGTTGGTGTAAAATGTGCAGATGGTATAGTACTTTTATGTGAAGACACTGACATAATGCTGTAGAATCTCTGAACATCCTGAGCTATAAAATCTTACTAAGCTTGGCATGCGACTTAAGTCCAGTGTCATAAAAGATGATGTTGCAGACCTAGTGTACACCGACTTCTGATTTAAGGATAGAAGGTGAAATAGTTGAATGTGTTGATTACTTCACTTATTTAGCAAGTTGTATCAGCCCTAATTAAGTTTTGCTGACGATATCATAGCATGAATGCTAATGGCTAGTTTCGCATATGGCAACTGACGTTACTTTTGTTGCAGGTGTACTATTGGTTTCTGCGTTCTGTTCAGCAGTTTGTTCATTTTTACTTTATAGTTAATTTACGTTCGTGGTATTTAATCATAGCTGTTTTGTTAGGTGGAGAAATGTGGTGAATTCAGGCGTGGGGAGAGATTGTAAACCTACTTTGTTTGGAGTGTCTAGGTCATGTGTGGTACATGTCGAGCCACCTTCCTTCTCATTAGGCATGGTGACCTGAATTAGGGTAATGTTTGAAAAGATTTAGTGAAAGTCAGATCAAACCATAACACAAGTTCATGAATTCATTATCTGTTAGTTTGAGTCACCTAGGTAAGTGCAGCCAGTGTGGATACTAGGAATCAATTACTGAAGACTGCCGGTTACATCGCTTGAACAGTACCTAATGTTGCAGACATATTCATCTCTTGTCATCTTCTAGATTTTAAATATTCTTACTGATTTTCATGTAATGATTTTCTGCCTTTATCTTATACGCTTACGTTCACTGCTTTTCGGTATATTTCTTTTCGATGCTATGTGTGCTTCTCCGAAGCGCCTCAAATTAAACTGACGCAATAATTTGATAATTACGTCGATTATAACCATTTCTCATTGTTTAAAGTGTATACAATTTGTCCTTTTTTTCTCTTTTGATGTAGTGAATGTTATCATTCCAGATCTTGGCCTTGCCATTGATCTCTGTTTACCAAGACCCACAGATTCACAAATTATTCAATTGAGACAGTTGTTTCTTGTTGGCTCACCTTGTCAGATTGCTAAAAAGCTAAATGTTTGTATCACTGGTCTACCGCCTAATGAACGCCGTCGACTTCGTTATGCCTACGAGGTACGTGAACTACACCATATTTGATATATCATCATCTTTCAAGACATTATACGAGTATCAATTTTGTGTAGTGTTGTTTATGATTCTCCATTTATAATGAAAAGATTGAATTAGTGGTTTCCTAGATGTTGACACAACTGTTTTGAAATAACTTAGCATGTCATTATTTTCAGACAATTCCTATGGTATAGTTGTCATGTATACATTTCTCTTTCACATTTTATCATCGTCCAGTCATCTTTTTTAAAATCCAAAACTGTATACTATATTGTCTTTGTCTTTTTTATATATTCATCTTATTTATATCAACACTTTGAAGATCCCAGGCAAGCAAGGGCCTGTATTCATCGATCCAAGTTCTCCTCTGGCACGTGAGAATTTCCCGTTCATTGCATATCTAGAGGTTCACACTACGTCAAAATCTTTTCTTCGCAGTAAGTTTTGTTGGGGGGGAAATGTTTTCTCTACTTTGTCATTTATGTTTGTCTGAACTTCCTAAGTTGTATTCGTAAATGAATGAATAAGAGATGTGAGAAAAACTGTATCAGGATTCTGTACGCTCAGATGATAACAACTCGAAAGTTAATTAGTGATGATTAGATTTTTGTACAATTGGAAATTTCAGTAAGATATTAAGGTAGCCAGTAATTTGTTGTGAACATCAGTAACTGAACTAATACAGACTTCTGAAGAGATTTATTTCTCAACCGCTTATATTCATTAGTTTATTTTTTTTATATTGATATTAATTTTTGAGTTTTGATATGGCAGTATATCTGAGACGTCACTTACTACACTTCCAGTATATTTGTGTAACTTTTAGACTGGTTAGATGTTATTGTCGTCTCCGCTCTATTTTAAATCCTGACACAGTTTTATCAGATAAATGAATGTTTGAGCAGATCGATATATCTTTTGCAGGTAACGCATGTCTTAAGAGTATGTATATATATTAATTCAGTGGCACATATCTTATTAAACTAATATTTTCTTCCTATTTCAGCGGTATGTGCTATAGATCCAGCATGGATACCATTTTTGGCACCTCAGAGTTACTCAGTCAGTGATCCTATATTGACAGATAGCCTAGATTCATTAGATAATAATGAAAACGATGCCAAGAATTGTGATTCATCCAATCAAATCAATGATGAAACAAGTGATACTGATGAATCGAAAAATGATTCCAACGCATTTAAAAAGTCCACTTCTCTCACATCCACTCCTACACCGCGTTATGATTCTGAACGTGATGTTATTGTTACTGGTGCCAAGTCTGTGAAATATATTGGTTCGGGTGTTGTTCTTGATTCTCCTGAATTATGTGACGATCAGTTTCTGGATTTACCGAATTCAATTGTAGTTCCAATTAACAGTATAGCTACAAGTCAGTCGTTAGGCTTCAAAGAAGCGCTAACATGGAGTGTTCGTTGGTTCACACGTTTTCTTCTAGAAGGCATAATTTTTCCGGAATTTAAGGAATGGTTTCCTACAAAAATAAAAAAGAATATTTCACCACAGATAGTAACCGTTTCTTGGGGCGTGTAAGTTCTAACTGACTTCTATTGTTTGCTATATTGTTGTTCAGTAGTAATCATAGTTATTCTCCATTAAGTCACATGAGAAGACTAATAAAGCTGAAGAATCTACAAGTTCTAGTGTTTGAATGCTTGCAGGAAAGCACTATCTTTTTCTTCAGATTTAATTTATGAAGCATAAATAACTAAATAGTGTGCTTTTATATGTTTGACGTGTAACTCCATAGGTGAAATAGCGCAAATTTCTTAGTTGGGGTAATGAAAAGCATACTTGATTGTAAATCTCTGATATGGGAATTTTACACGCTTCAGTGTGTTCTTTACAAGTTATACTAATGGTGAATTGACATGGGATTTTGTAGCTCATCATACTTTTATCCCAGTATAAATTTGGTTCATACATCACAGTTTGACTGGGTTTTTTTTTCTGAATAAACTTAGTCATTCAAAGTCATGTGGAAGTCATTGTCATCAGGTTGTTTAGGCATATTAGACTAATTTGTTGGATATTGTTGATAGTTATCAGATGATTAAAATTGTCTCAAGTGTGTCGATTATTGTGTATTCACCAATTATATTATTAGCGCAGTAGTGTTGTGTTTTGTTTTAATCTCAATGAGTTTCAACATAGCATTTAACAAAAAAGGGCAGCAGTTCACACTGTCACACTCCATACAGTCCGTTAAAAATGAAAGAATTCATCAATTCTACGTGCTCTATGTGGATATAAAACTAACCTAATACCTTGTCTTTATCAGGACTTTGTTTTAATGCTTTATGTGAACGCGACGTAACGTCAATCATTTTAATATTCTCATCAAATTTTTCTCATTTTCGTGCATCTTCAAAGTGAGTAGCTCTGAAATTTTATATAGAGAGTATGTGGGGATGTAGATTTGTAGCCAACCGTAGTACTACCTATTTTGGTAGTACTATTTTGGTGTTACGTATGCCTAGTCATCGCCTTCCTCGACGGGCAATGTTAGCTGATATAGAGTCAGGCTGGAAAAGAGCTAGCGGCGGTCAAACCAAAACATGGCACCAGTCAATGAAGTCCACAACAGCTAGTCTAAGCCAGCCACGTAGGAAGGTGTAGACTTCTTGGTTGGGGTCCTCGGAACGGTAAAAACCAATGCTTAGAAACAATTGGTGATATGGCTCAAAATCGTTCTCAATGTCGCAGATGCATCCACTCCTTGTGACTCATGATTTCCGATGAAACTATATTGTTCTTCGATATCACTATTCCTTTGTCTCACACCTCTGTTTACTGTCTATATTATGCATTTCTTTTCTTCTCTTGTTTTGTGTGCTACATGGAGTGTGGCGACTTGAACTGCCGCACATCGGTGCAAAGTCCTATGTCGAAAACAGACAGACTACCTATTTTGACAATTACAAATAATATTTAGTTAGAAGAAAATTCAAAATGGCCTGGCGAACAATTTAAAATAAATTCTTGAAGCCTATTAAATTTGTTTAAGTGTTTTAGAATAAAAAAGGGTTGATTTACTGAACGTATACCTCAGCCAAACCAGTTATTTTTATCAGCTATATGCTGCTCAAAGTGAGTTAACCTAGAAGTCATGTGTCTATAACTTCAACTATAGTGAAGTTGGATCATAAAAGGTTTCTAAAATCAAATTTTCATTATTACTGTCTAATCACCTTTTCCAATTCGTTTTGTCATGCTTTTTCCTAGTATTCGTCCTGAGGTACGTTCTTTAGTATCCGTTTTGGTCGTAGACAAGATCGATTCTAAGAAGAAACTTTTGCAACAGTGGCATTCCGATCCGTTGTGTAAGTGAGCTAATATTTTTAACTGTAATCTTCTTTAGATATTTCGAAAGAATTGGCGTCTTGGTTGCACTCAGGATGTGTTAGCGAGTTTCATGCATCTTGGCCACTGATTAAAAATTCAGATACACATTGACTTCATCTCTTCTTACAGTCTGTAAAATAATGCTTTCTTTGTCCATAATTTTTTCTCGCAAATAAAAAATGTACAGTTCGTATGTGTTTTGATATCTAGTTTTTTATGGAGTGAAACGATAAATCGCATTATCTCTGAAGCAAAGCATAGTATATACACATTCACATTAATCTGCCATATTATTTCGAATACTAGCAATATACATGAGGATTTTCGTGAAATCAGTTACACTTCACGAGTGCACCCACACTCATCGTATTTCATTCGTTTCGTTTATGTTTATTTTATCGACAGTCTTCTGTTGTCTTCAGTATACATTCTAATATTCTAGTGCTTACGCTCATCACCACAATACTTCCAACCGTATCTTGAACTCATATGTCTCAAATCAAGCTTCAGATGTGTCGCCCCACCGATAGCTGCTACCTTAACTTGGTGGTCGGTTTTGCATATCCCAATGATCCAACAAGCCACACTAGCTGGAACTAGTGTTTTTTAGGTCCTATCATGCCAGGAAGATTGTTAGGATAGCAATTCAACTAACAGCAGTTACCGGAGTAGTGTAAGGTTTTATTACACTATATTGGGGGTCTGTGGAAAAAGTCGTATTATTGGGGAACATGGATGTAACAGCAGTAAGCTGTTTCCTTCAGATGACCAGCATGCCAACCAGCTATGCTGTCTCCACTTTGGAGGGAGGGGATTAGAAAAGGTCGACACCAAAAATTGTACATCCCGAATTACCCTACACGGTGTTCCGTATCTGGAGGTAAGTTACTAATACGGAGCCAATCCAAGAAGCCAGTTCAGACAGGCCGTGTGTGACCAGTCTCAAATGGTTGTCCCCTGGGCTCTGTGGTCACGCAACAACAATTCCTTTTGTGTTTCACATACTCCAAGAATAAATCGACTTCCACGGTGTGGGCAGCAAGGATGTAACAACCACCCACACTTCCAAAAGTATACAAAGCCCTCCTGATCATCATCCTACGTTATATCTGTTACCCTCATCATCATGTTATCCTCCTACTGTTACTATTATTCTGCAGGCTAGTGAGTCATCTTCATTTAATTCTGTGACCACAAAAGACGATGAATGTGAACGTTGGTTCATTGAGCTTGGTCGCCATTGGCGGGCAACTCGAAGGTGCCGATGATTCAATCGTGTACAAGTGGGAAGAATACAAATAAAAGTACAACCTGGAGGACTACTGTTTAATACAATAATGATACGACATGGGTCAGACAATGAGTGTATTTATATATATATCAAATATTTAGCTGTTCAAACATTATTAACTTGTAGACAATGTACTATTTGTCATTATATCATACTTGATCGTGCCTGTAAAAATGGCATGCATTTTCATGTAATTTTATGTTTATATGAAAATATGAATTATTATTATTATAATACATTCCTTGTAAAACATCTGTTTATAGACTTTTCACGAAATATCGATTTTAATTGCCGAACAATACAATTTGTTACAAGTCCTTGTTCTTTGGAGTTAAAGTCGACAATCGGTCATTGTAATTATCGATTTGGTGCGTCTTCGAAAATAATAGGAACTTAGGGTTAAGTTCCTAGAAAATGAGAGTTATAGGGACACCACCGATAGCCTCTTAAAGCCAGTACGCCAACTTCATCTTGGAGTATTTAAAGTCATGACCCTCTTCCAAATCGAACAACAGACATCACTAGCAAGAACTCTGGCATCTTGAGCCATGGATGTATGTGGTGTTTCGGAGACAAGCATACGAGACCTGAGTGTGGTTATTCACTAAACCACACCCGGCCAACAAGGTGAATCTGAGAAATTCACCTTAACAGTGTCAGTAGACTCCTCAGCTATTTCTGGAAGACTTTCAGGTGTAGGGATATCATCGAGTGTTAGGGCAGAAAAGTCACTTCTTGACTGGATCCAGTAGATGTCGTATGTGTACAGTACGTCTGAACGGTTTCGTTAGGAGGAAGGATGGCTTTACCTGTCGTTGTCATTTCGTAGTCTGCGCTTCCGCTCCAACCGACTGCAGTTCGAATGAACTGAAGGATGATTTCTACCTGAAACTGTCCAGTTTACTGCGAAATGCTCAGATATAGTTGTTTTAGCAGGCGACTTCAATACCCAAGTATGGAAGTTTTGCCGGGCAGGGAAGTATTTAGGTTGTACCTACGGGGTTCCCTGTTGACGAACTGACAACGGCGATTGTCTTCTACTGTTCTGTTCAAATAATCATCTGTTCCTAGTCAGGACTAACTTTAGCCACAAAGACAGACATTGCCTAACCTGGAGACCTCCATCACCAAATCAACGTTGGACTCAAACAGACCATGTAGCGATGGGGTATCGTTGGTGAGAGTTAGTAGAAGACTGCCACTCCTTATGGAACACGTGCGTAGACTACGATCACGCTCTGGTTCGCACACGTTTATGCTTTCGATTGAACGAACATAAAAAATTGTTGGCAGCGAAGCAGTTACTTCCTTAATTAGGTGTAGACAATGAATCCCTATTTAAAGAAGAAATAGTGAAACGAGTACCTGAAGTAGACAGCAAGACTCCTCATGAGGTAGTCTGGCGCAATATACAGTTAGCTGTAGACACAACTGTTAAGGCTATTGGTAACATAAAACTAAAAGTTAGCATGAGCTAGTGCATTTCTACTACCTCACCGGAACTAATTGACACAAGAAGACTGATTCTGGCAAACTCCGAATATGATGAGGAGCGAAAGCTGCTCAAACGCAAACTAACGAGAAGTCTTCGTAACGACCGTGAACAGTGGTGGGCGACAAAAGCGAAAGAGATGAAAAGGCATCGGTGATTGCAAACACCAAATAACTATAACTTATCAGGGAAACAGGTGGCAAAAGGCAAACGATAAGTGAAACAATCTTCGAGAAGAATGGCACCACAATTAGCTCCCAGAATGGACGACAGGAACGTTGGAAAGATCAATATGAGGAGCAGTTTATTTGGCCTACAGCCACGCTCACGTTATCCATAATAATTACCGGAGTTCAACAACTACATCTCTGGTATAGACGTAATATCTGATTGGTTGTCGACCGAGGGGCGTGTGTACTGTTCACCACTCCACTCTGTCCCCCTTTATCACTGTGAGTGTGACCTTCCCAATGAAAGCGGAGGACATGGAAAGGTAAGCTAGCTCTCTTTGATCATAGATGTCTGCGTTCTGTCTCCTGTATTAGATGGACAACCATCTCCTTCCTCGACGGGTAATGTTAGCCGACATAAGATCATGTTGGAAGAGAGCTAGTGATAGTCGAACCAAAACATGGCATCAGTCAATAAAATCCACAACAGTTAGTTTAAGCCATGTAAGAAGGTGTCGACTTCCCGATTGTGGTCCTCAGAATAGTAGAAACCAATGAAGGTAGGAAGCGATCGGTAATATGGTTCGAAATCGTTCTCAACCGCTGGCGCAGATGCATCCAGTACTAGTGATTCATAATATACAATTAGATTCTATTGTTCTTCCACACTACTTGTTTTTGCCTCACATTTCTGTTTATTATGTGTTTTGAATCTTACGGTATTCTTTCCCGGCTATATGCGCTATGTGTAATGTGGTGACTCGAATTGATGCACATTGTGCAAAGTTCTACGTTGAAACCAGTCAGTCAGTCTTCGATTGATTCCTTGCCTTGATGTTTCTGCAGATAACGCGTTGTCTTTTTAATGGAGATGACAACACATGCCTGAATCGTACACATACTTTGAACTTTGGATCGACTAGCAAAATGGATGAGGCTCATTCATGCACAGTGATGAAATTGTATTTAATTTCCATACCTATATGTGGTTGGAAAAATTTTGTGATATTTATTCTATTGATTTCGTGATTCCATATCTTTGGTTCACGTTCACTGTGAGTCGGTGCCACAGCGGTTAGGGCTCTCGCTGACTATGCACATGTTACGGGGTTCGATCCCCTGCCGACGCTCAACTGATATCTATGGTCAGCCCGCAAAATTTCGGCCACCGATATCATATGCTGAAAATTCCATACTTGTACCAAAAATACTGTGTGGTTTCAAGCTATAATAAAAGAATAAAATAAAAGTCGATTGACCAAGCTAGTGATGTGTCAATATCAATGAATTTTGGGTTCGTTATTAGTCCTCATAACCTCGCCTATGTTACTTCCCCGCTAGTTTGATAGCCGGTTTCAAGCCTATGGTAAGAGAGGCTAGCAATCCTAACCCGAAATATCAGTCAGATCGCTTCAGAAACTTCCAAACTCAAGAATTTTATTGAAAATGGTTAATGCTCTTTTACACGCTAAGTGAAACAATAAGTCGCAATGGATGCAGAACTTCGCCGAAATCAGGATAGATTCAGAAAATGCAAATCAGATGCTGACCAAATTGCAACTCTACGCATCGTCATTGAACAAAGCACAGACTAAGAGTCAAGTTTTGACTACGACAGCGCTGGCCGAGAAACAATTCGGAAATTACTTGAAGACGATGGGGTACAGTGCCTAAATCTTTGTCAACCGCATTCAACAGCTATATGGCAATGCCATTTGTCAGGTAGTCCACAACGAAAGATTTCAGCTAAGCTTTCGACATGAATACAGGAGTAGGACAAGGCTGGCTACTATCACCGATGACATTCCAAACTGTAGTGATTTTGATTATGGGTAAGATAGAATGTGTGAGTAGGAAGTCACAAACGCATCGGACTGGTATTATCTCTTTTTCTTGAACGATTTATGCGTAATTACACACAAAATCGAAGATCTGCATGCTAGCTGGTGGGGGAAGTGGTGAGGACAAAGCTTCATTTGAACATCGACAAGACATAGGTAACGGAATTACCGACACGCTGAAAAGAACAGAAACCATCAACGGAAAAAGCACTGTTGCAACCTCAGACCGAATGGACGTCGATGTGAGGGCCAGAATAAGAGGAAGAAGACAGGTCTTCATTATTTGAAAGAAGTTTAGAAATCTTCATCACTCAGCATAAATAAAACATTTCGGATTTTCAACACAAATGTGCAATCAGTTTCCTATATGTGTTTGAAACTTGCATTGCGAGTCACGAAAAGGATTTCTGATAGCAGACTTTTACCAACAGTTACCTTCTCTGGCTTCATATTGAAGATCTAATGATCAGAAGGAATCAATAACAAGAAATCTTGGGAACAAACCAACCAAGAAACTATTGCCTAATAGAAATTCCGTGGCCCATGAATGTGGATTGAGCACACACTGAGGAGCCCGTTGAGTAGCACTGCTTGGCGGGCCTTCTCGTGGAACTCCACTGTAAAACGAGTTGGGTTGTGGTCCGAGAGTGAAATGGAAAGAGTGAAAGACTGTTTGCACTCGAGAGGTAACTGAAGAGAACTGCATAAAATAGGACGAAGAGGAGACGTGCTGTTTAAAGTCCAGTAGGTCAATAATAGAAAATAACAAGTGTTATCAACACTGCAGAGACTCGTCCTGCCGTAAGATGTGGGAATCCAGAGCTACAGGTCACGTAAATAAGTGTTTACTAGGAAAAATGGATTTGTGAAGATGACTCCTAATCTCGCCCGGCGTTTTTGATTAAAATAGTACAAAGGTTGGTTGTGCTAGTGTAAGACCTATTCACATAAACGACAGAGACTCAGAGGTAGTTAGTTATTTAAGAATTTAGATAGATTTGGGAGAAACCAAGTGCGAACTGTGTCTCTTCCTTGATCTGTAAACGTCTCTTTGTCTATTGAATCAATTTAAACCACAAATACACTTCCATACGTTTGACTCGGTTTCCTCAATGCAGACTTTCCGACTTTTTAACCTCCTTTTTGATATAAGGGTCATTGATTGACTACTTGAGGATTTATTTTGAAATGAACATCATTTACATAACCAGAGAACAGCATTTATACAGATCAGTAAGCTGATTGTAGGGTTTCATTATCTTTGAGGTATGTGCAAGCAAATCATTCCACCCCTTACCGAACCCCCTTTTAAAGCATTCCATCATGCAGTTTGCTAGTATAGTAAAAGTTTTAGGGTCATAAGACTCATTGAATGTATCTTACTGCAGTGAAACCTCTTACGCCCCTTGCGAATGACGTCAAAACCACCTGCACCCACATAACTGTTTACGATACTTTCGGATGCGTCTGATAATGGAATAAATGCAAAGCTGAAACATAGTGAGGCTGTTGGTGAATATGCCAGTCGCGTTCTAACACATGCAGTAAAAGTGACTTGTGGGCCGGAAAGAATGTTTAGGGACAGTTCGGGCGTGAGGTAATGGAACCAAGGCATTAATATAATCAGCTTGGCTAATAACTGAATATCAGTACTGATCAGAAGGCCCCACAGTGGGTAAAGAGATCAGGAGACTTGTGTGGTGTATTTTCGAGGTGGTTGCTAAAACCAAAGGAAAACTATTTCGCGATTCGACATGTCCTGGCTATGTGGACTTGTTAGCGGACATTTTTTGTTAATACCCAAACGGGAATTATTCATGAAATAAAATATACGCCTCAGTCTAGATCAGGAGAATGAATTGAGTTATTTGAGGTTTTATATGAATTATGCGCGTCACAACGATACTGATCAGTTGCTAAAGGCCAGATTCTACTTTGAACATAGTGACAAAGGTGATAGTTGAGTGGACATGAACTGAGCTTATGTGAATGGAGTATTAATCATTTTACTCTAATGAAAAGCTGATTCAAATCGAACGCATATTAGACTTATTTGGAAATATTTTCTTCCTCTCAATATTTAATTTTGAAGCACTGCAATTGCTTGGAATAATTATCGTAGAAGGTTGGTCTTTACTTTATGGCGCTGGATCAAGTCACTAGTGGAGTGTTCATCAGCATTGCGGAAAGACCTACCAAGCATTGATTTGGAAATGTCTGATTCCCATCACAGAAATCAGATTGTGACTCCTCAAGAGTTTGCTTCAGTCTGACACTCATTTTGAACAAAGGCCTAACATTTTCACATTGTTGTAAATTTCATGTTACATTAGGTACGTTGAGGTTAATCTTACGACCTTATATTTGCTAAGCGTGAGCCAGGTTTTAAATCATGACAAGTAGTATTCGTATAGATTCCAAAGTTTCCGCAACACGCTAACATGGAATAGCATGTTGCATTCATGTAACCGTAGTTGAAAAAAGCCTTGATCTAACATCAACAAGTCATCATATTGACCTCCTTATCCTCTGCTGTTTATATGGTTCTGGGTGTTAGATTATATGGTACAGTTTCTTGAGAGTTTTATGACTTCACTCTATTTCTCTCGGTCTTACCGCCGGATAATTTTCCCTTATAAATTGTGGCAGGGTGTTGTTAGTTTCTGCATTATCCAGGTGAATCTACTTCTTAAACTGGTGTTTATCCTGCTGATTTATTAGCATTATTTGTTATTTTTAGTCACCTATTCTATCAACTTAAATGTTGATTCGGCGTCGCTCTTTAGCCAAATGTTGTCAGATGTAGTGAAAAAAGGCGCACCCAACATTTGGAAGATATACAGCACTAACGACTTCACATAGGTTCCTGCATGCTTTGAGAGCTAGTCCCAAGTAACCATTCGCATCTACCAGTAAACATGAATTTGTCATACTATCCAAGCGTCTCTGAAGTCTGTCCTGTGTCGCATGAAACACGGTAACTCAAACCTACAGCAGCCCGAAACGAAACTGCCAAGCAAAGGCCTTGAAAAATCTCTACCGACCAATCAGACAAGCTCGAAGCAGAAGTGCGTAATTTGAAATGGAAGCTGATAAAAAAGGAATGCAACGTTCAAAGGTATTTAGATAAGATAAATACCTTGCAAATATTGCAAGAAAACCTCCTAACTTCTCATGTGAATCCTCACATTTAGGTCAAACCAATTTCTGCAAATAAATTTGTTGAGGTACATGTAAATCATAGTGTTTCTTGACCCATTAACCACTCTGATCCTCTTTTTAAGGTATCTTGTGGAACTTTCGATGGAATTTGTATAGGTCTCACCGAAGAAATCAACTGTATCACACCTTTGTCGAATGCCACTGCCCTTTTTCAGCTCTTAACTCGCGTAGGTTTCGAAGTCGAACAAGCGAAAATTTTGAAGATTTACGGCATAGTTGGTTGAAATGTTACTAATATAATACAGAACTGCAGCCTATCTGACCTTTTGATTTAATATAAGGTTTTGGAACTTTTTGGCCCTCGAGTTTGGCTGTTTCACTGAAATCTGCGAGTCGGTGTCTCCGGTGCAACTTATGGGTTCCAAAGCCACTGATGCTAGGAATATAAGTGCTTCCATCACTTCAGTAGATATCTTCCTCATAAGGTTAGTCACTTGTCCATTCTAGATAGCTTAAAGATGACCTACTCTTATGTCGTAGTCGCTTACTAGTTTTCACGACGAAGGCTTAACAGAGAGTGAAGGATGTCATCGAGAGCACTTATGGCATAAAAATACGATAGTTGAAAATGCTTGCATTTTGATTTAGAAGTACTCACTTCAGTTTTCACAAATACTATAGAGCTAGGCAAAGTAAATTACTGGCTTTCATGCATTTTCAGCTGTTACTCCAGTTAAACTGGATAAAATCATTCACGTCGGGTCGACGTCATTATGTAAGTGCACTAGCAATCCTCAAAACTGCGATTCTTCTATGCAAATTAATTATCGTAAGACACAGGGAGAATATTTGAATGCAGGAAAAAGCGTATTCGTTTAGTGGCATAATCAAAAGTGTGATTTGTGACTTCCCCGTCGATAAAACAAATTTACTAGCTCCTACATATAATTGCCTATCACTGGTACTTTATATTTTTAAAGATAGTCTGAAGGGCGGGAGAGATAAGGCATCAAATAACAGTGATCGCTACAGATTACTCAAACAACTGGCAGGGTTTACGTAATTGTAAGTTAGTACCACCAAAGTGATTTGTGCGTTTTCCCCACGAACATGGATGCAGTTTCACTCAGTGGGGATAATATCGACTCCACTTGATAATTCCGAAATCTTTTCAGAAGTGACCACGTGGTGATATGCGAGTCAACTGCTATCATGATAATTTAGGTGGATAAATGTGGAGAATACCATGGAATCCTGGGCAGCCATTAATTCTAAATCCATTCAAGAGAGAACACAAAAGATAAAAAACTACGGATGGGGGTTTAACAGTGTCAGGTCAAATAGGTGAATATATGTAAATAGCACTTCCATTCAGTGGAATAAAAGACACTGAATTTCAAATTTCACCGCAGAAAATTCACCTTAGTTTAGGGAAATACTATGCTGCTTTCTTTTTCTCATTTGATGATGCATTGATCAGTCAGGCATATGACACAGTTTCAGCTCCATATCCAGGAACTGTTAAGTGAGTTTCACGTAGGTATCATCCCCGTTAGAATAGCTCATGAGTTTCTTGGAAATTGGAAGTCGGCATTCCCTGTTAGTGCAGTCGCGCAGAGAATGTTCTGTGAAAAATTTCGGAAGTACTCCGTTGATTATATTAATAGAGTTATTTAAGGATTTTATTCAGGGATGTTCACCACTGACTGTGCTAGATTCAGAAGCCCTATTAGCAAGCAATTTCTAAGGCTTTGCTTTCCATCAGATACACCTAATCTTGCAAAAGCGAATACAAAGAACGATCAATTTGATGAGTTCAACATGGAATTTCGCAACACAGTTGAATAAATAACTGTGCACTACAATTTAAATTAATACAGCTACACTGAACACACTGTGATCTTATCATTTGCAAACGATTAATGGACTATCACATTTTGGACGTCTATTTAAACTGGGACTGCGTTTTTTATCATTGGCGCATTTATATTCATCTGTCATCATATTCATAAGTAGCCTTCAATTCATAGGATTTGTTTAAAGTGCATAACTGTGTAGATATTAACCGGTAGTCCTCTGCGAAGCAATACCTTTCGTCAGAATCTGTCATTTTTCGAATGTTTAAATGAATAATATAACATAATTAATTCTGATGGTTGAGAAACATATAGAACTTTGACGCTACTGCGGTCCTTTCGAAAATGGCAGATGTTCTCGATCTTCACGGAGAGAATGACTTTGAAGAGGATCAAGATGGAGACCGTAAGTATTTATTTTATGCACTGATGGTAACGGTGTCGTAATCAGTAGGCGTAACGAATACGTGGGCTTATTTCACTAGTAACTAGCAACAGATTTAGGCGTGAAATTATTTGTCCGATTTCTTGGGCCGTTTCACTTTAAGGATTGCAAAGTATTGACAGTATGTAAGGCTTGGGCACACATACTACTGCCTTTCCTTGCTTTTTAATCTTTAAATTTTGCTTGAGTTCATTTACTCCAAGTACTCATTCGTTTGGAAGTTTAATTTTCACTACTAAGCAAAGTGCATTCAGATATATATAAGGGTGTTGTACATAGCTATCAGTCACAAAAGGTGCGATGACACCAACTGCAGTGGTGAGTGAAATCTCAGGATAACTCATAAAGGAGAAACTATCTTTTTAGGGATTTATGAGGTCTGCTGAGTATGTGCTCCTTCTACAGGGAAAAATAATTCGGCGATACGTCTGTATTTCTATACATTTGCACGGGCTAAGAATGCTTTAGACGAGATGGATCTTTAGATCAAACCATGTGGTTAAGCCAATCCTAAGGTTAGGGAGGGAAGTCAGTTAGCTGACTGAGTTATAACACAAATCTTAGCACAGAAGTTGATCAAGTTTGTAAAGTTTAAACGTATGGAATGGTTAGGTCGTGTGTTAGCCACGGGTGACGAGGAATGTTCAAACTAATGTATAAATTAAATAGTTTAGTGGTGGAATCTAACCATCATCTCTAGGGCCTAGGGCTGTTGGTCCGTACCCGACTGAGTTATTTTTCAACTTGGGACTGCACACAAGTGCCAAAGTTCGAAATGTTTCGCCTTATGAAGCACACACAGACTTGTAAATACAGAAAATAAAGGAAAGATATATTAATTGGAAATGTGTGAGAGAAAGAATAGTGGGAGTTTAATGTATCTGAGTTCAGAAACAGTTAATACATCTGCTCCACTGTGGATAGCTTTAAGTCACGCCTATAACACTTTCCACACATTGCCTCCTATCCTCTTTTTGACCCCAATCAGGAACTCTACATTTCCCTACGTGGCTGATACCATTAGTCGATCTTCATGGATTCATGCTGTTTTGCTTCGACCATTTCTGCCGTTTTCTAACCCAACCATGTGTCGTCTAACATGGCTCGACAAAAAAAACTTGACTTGTATAATATATGAACTAGCCACTTCAGTCGATTGATTCTACTCACGTAACACTAAGTTTAACGTTATTATTAGTCAGCATGTATCACGTTACCAGAAACAAGATTATAAGCCTATGGTCATATACAACTGACCTCTTTCATATTCAACAATCACGTCTCAGACATAAGGGAGAACAAAGCGAACTGCTGGGTGGTGCACATGTCCCTTGACTGATAGCATCAATTCTACGCCACGAATGACTTAGGCTGGTTAGTGCCGTAGAAACCTCTTGTATCCCTGCTGAAGTTTCATTAGCAATCACTCGATTGAGGTTGATGCAACTTCCCAAGTAACTTTGTCAACGCATTAACCGTTTCACTCCCTGTCTGTAATTAGCATTCAGTGTAAACAATAGTGATGTCACCTCACGTTCGACAGGGTCCAGTCTCATTATAGATACTAAGTTTCGTGCCTAACGCTTTCAGAAGTCTCCATAGTGGCTGATTCTAGTCTAGCCTCTATCGAAACAAAATGGTATGGTAGGAACTGCAGGGACAGCCAGGTGTAGCTTTCTGGGTCGCTGCGATATGCAAGCTCGACCACCGTGGCAAGATAGCAGTTATCCGCCGGGCCTGCTGACCTTCGTCGATGGTTTATAGCCTCGTAGTCTATTTGTGTTCGACGTTTAAATCTTGTAGGTCGCCACGTGAGGCAGTGTCTCTTTATGTCTGGAATTAGTGTTGACCAAGAGCAGGTTGTGATCTGAAGAGAATTGGAGGGCGCAATCACTTTTGTTGATTCGCCGACATGGGACTCAGTAGATGTCATCCATATGTTTTTATGATTGGCACACCTTCTCTAATAAGGCAATCGGAACACTTGCTAAAATGACTGCATCTGAATAGTTTGATTGTATTAGCTAACAAGGCAGCTTTCGATAGAACTCATCTTTTTCTTCATCCGAACAGCAGTCGATGGAGGTGTGAGCGTGCCAATTTTTCGTTCTAACGAATCTGTTCAGCTAGATAGCACATATTACTGTTCTGTGAAATCCAGTCAAGTGGTGGTTTTTTCATTTTAGCGCTGAATCTTGTCCCTACACCAGCAATTCCACGCAAACTTTCTTAGCCATACAGGGGTAATCGACTGCTGACTAGATTGCCCTGAATGGTTAGAATCAGTAGTTTGAAACTGTTTTTGATGTTGGTGAAAATATTTACGATGGAGTACTCATTCCTTGTCATAATCTGGATTCTAAAACATCTTGCTGGTCATCGTTTAATTGTTGTTTTGTTGAGTCTTAGTTCATTGCAGCTTCATAACAGAACTAGCACAGTTCAACAAGAAAATGCTTGAAAATGCATTAAACAGGTAATCTTTCTGACATGGCTTAAAAAGACGTCCTGGTTGTAACAAGGAGTATCAGTTGCTAAGTTAGACTAGTTTCTGTACATGTATTCACCGAGATGATTACAGATAAACTTTTTGTGAATCATTTATCTCTCTCATCCTGCTTACAGTCTTCCGAAAAAGCCCTCGATTGAATTATTATGGTTTCCAGCAAGAGGATAGACGACTACTTACCAGGAAAACGTGGATGATAAAAAATTAAAATAAATGACTTCAACTATAAATCTATCCCTAACCGTAATCATAGGCTTAATCCTGACCCTAGCACTAAACCTACCCCTAATCATAACCCTTATTCAAACCGTAATTCTAACCCTAACCCCAATACTTACCTTAACCCTAATCCTAACGAGCTATTAACACATTGTCCAAACAGTACTTAAAAACGTGATCTGGGTGGAATTTTCTCCTAAGTTGGTGAATAGCGTTGATATTTCAACTATGATAATGACAGATGCCGTCAGCCAACGACTAGCACGCGTTCAAGATCACTGGAGCGCTCACACTCTTGGGACGCTATTGTTGAACTTCGCCACAGAACTTTTGTCTGTTTTGTGTGCTTTCCTGAAGTGTCACCGATCAAACTGCTACACCGTTGTGCAAAGTTCTAAGTTGGTCACTCAAAGTTTGACGGATAAATGAATGTCCTATGTGTATTACCTTTAACTACACCGTATCAAGTACATGCAGTAGAACTGCACTTCAGGAGTACAAGAATTTAATTGAACATTTGGTAAGGCGTGATTTTTATTGGTATCATAAAATAGATCTTGGGGGAGAAATGTATCTTTGTTTGTGCATTTCTAGAAGTACTCAGACAGATACATGCATTTAGTCACCAGACAAATAAATATTTTTGTAAACAGAAAATAACGTTTTATGTTTATTTTTAGATGGTTTGATGAAATTAAAAGAGAGTGCTAAGAAAAGAAAAGGGAGAGGATTTGGATCTGGTACATAGCCTTATTTGCTTTCTAAGCTTTGTAGACTCAGTGGGAACTACTAAAGAGAGCTATGAATCTATCGGAGCAGATGATGGTGCTTCAAAATCAGGACCACAAAGATGTAAGTTGCAAAAATATACATATGTAACTGTTGTCAGCCGTTGAAGGTTGGATCTTATTTGTTAGGAATGTACAAGAAGAAGCCACAGAAGAAGATATCCGGGATAAATTCTGTGAATATGGTGATATAAAAAATATACACTTGAATCTTGATCGGCGAACTGGTTATTTGAAGGTACATTCAGTAATATAATCAATCTACTGATTACAGGGATATGCTTTGGTGGAGTATGAGAATTTCAAAGAAGCACATACGGCTATGGAACATCTGAATGGTTCCGAGTTAAATGGTCAGAAGATCCACGTAGACTGGGCTTTCACTAAAGGTCCGAGTCAAGTTAAAACGCCAACCAAGCACAGAACACGTGATCGTAGTCGAAGTCGTTCAGTTGAACGTGCTCGACGATAACTGTATATGCATCTTTCAAATGAATTACATTTTCTTACCCTAACAGTCTCCTGTGATTTAAAAGAAACAGCGTTTTTCTCGATACAGTCAAAATGTGCATAGTTTCTAGTCAGGTGTACCTAATAAACACGGGGTCTTCTTGCATCTAACTTGAGGGATAAGTTTTGATTGTACTAACTGTTATATATTCTTGTATATTTGAAATGGAATGGCACTGTTGACAGATGACAAAAGAAAGGTATATAAAATATGGTGTCGAAACCCGCTATACGACTATCACTGTCTTCGACATTAATTATGGAAACGTTATGTACAATAAGGAGTAAATGTCCAGGAAATCCTTGTATTGTATTAGGACACCAGTCTTTTCTGTACAACTTAACTATTAGTGTTGAAAACGAGAAAGAAACTTAGAGGTTTTACGCAAGATGGGCAACTGTTAAGGCATAGTTTGCTGCCATGAAACGAAGCGTTCTCCACGACATCATGCACTGGTATCGTTAAGAGTTATACATATAGAAAATCAAAACAAGTGATTCAACGAAGAGACTCTTTTCAATGAATTTATTATCAAGCTGTACAAACGTATATATGGTTTTTAAGAAGTTATATCATATATAGAATAATTCATAGGATGTATAGAACTTGGACGGGGTGTGCAATTATAGGATTAGTAGGTAAATCGAATAAAATAAAAACGTTACGTAATATAGCGTGAAATTTGATAACAGAATTTAACGTTGTTTTGCCACTTGACATTTAACAGTGATTATAATCACAAATATTTTAATTGCATTTCATACTACTATTATTATTTTATGCATTCACACCTATAATTCAATTCCCTCATCAGATATAATTTCTTAAAAAACACACATATACATATACGATTGTAAAGCTTGATAATAATTTCGTTTGAAAGAGTCTCTTCGCTGAATCACTTGTTTTGATTTTCCATATGTTACAGTGGGAATTTTCCATGAGTTATACATATCACCTCGAATTTTGTCGCTTGGGGATTGAGGTGTTTCCTACCCCGATATACTTCGGAATAAAATTACAATTACTTACTACACAGATACCTCCGATGATAAACAGGCCGTAATGAAAGTATCTAAGGGAGTGGATTTAGGGATTGGCAGGACTTCACACCTGACGTGATCGAAAAGTATTTTTGGGGATTCGTAATTATTTCATAATTGGTATGATTAACGGACTAGAAACAAGTGTATCACAGAAGTTTTGTCGTTAAAATAAGTAAACAGATTATTACTACCATTAAAAAATGTTCACAAGGAGTCTACCATTGCAGCTGATTTCGTTTCCGCAGCGCAGTGCAGCAACCTAACGTGGTTTATACTAGGAAGTTATCGGTCATATACGGCGGTATCAGTTTTCGATGACATATAGTCGTATAGTGGCGGTCTGCTTAAACCACTGGCCTACCTAAATTTCCGTTTACCATAGTACTGTAACAACAGAAGACAAGGGCCAGGTAACAGATCGTTTATTAAGGAAAATCAACACATATTAATAGATTTTAATGTACCTTATTGTAGATTATTGTTAGTAGAAAATACAGTCTTTTGATTGGTTGTTTCTCACAGAAAGTTAACCTTGCTTCTCTTTGTGGCTGTGTCAGATCATTCATATGCTAACTGCATCCGCCTACGCAAAGCCTTTGTTCTCATTTTCTCACCACCAATATTGGGGACATAAACATTGACGTCAATTACTGTCTACCAACTTTGGCTAGCAGCCAGCTCTCACCACAGTACTATTCGCCGTTTGCTGTTATTTTAATCTTCTAATTAAGTCCCTCGAAAGCAACATGAACTCACAAATTTTTAATTGGCTTCCAACCTACTGCTGTGCACTTAAAGAAGAAAATGTCATAGAGAATTGAGTCTTGTTTCAGGTAAAATGACATTGCATCATGTGATATACTGTCAATGAGTATTATTTACCTGAAGATTCTACACAGGGAGTAAATATTCTGCAGGAAATTACACCGAGAATCCTATATTGTGTTCAGACGTAAATTCCGGGATAAACCTATTATTATTATTATCACCGTATAAACGAAAATATAACATTTTTATGAAGTAACTTCTAGTAATAACTCCTCTTTTAACAAACGGAAAAGTCGATTGCGAAATCACGGCTTTTATTATCAAAAATGTTTCTGATATCGTCATAATTATAGGCTAAAACAATTAGACAGAATTATACGAAAGTAGCATTACCAAATAAAATTAAAAATTCTCAAAAATTATGTTCAGGTAGTAAGAAAAGATATTATGGATTCAATTCCCAATTAATTATCAGCATTTTAAAAGCAAAAGTAATATTGTTAATACTGTTGAAATGGCAAGTTGAAGTTTATTCACACCGATTGCGTAGACCAACATTTCTTCTTTTAGCACCGTATAAGTTATGAGTATAGATGTATTCTAAAGTACATTCTGGCACAAGATAACGAACACTTTTCCCATGACATAGCGCTGCGCGTACTAAGGTGGAACTAAGTGAATTTTGACAGCCATCTGTCACGAACTCAATATTATCCTGTGTTTATTGAAATACACCAAGAAGTGATGAATTTTATGACAAACACTATGGTATGATTATTTCAGCATTAATAAGAAGACTGTTTGGTAAACCGTATACCAGTGAATCAAATGACGAGAACATTCTCATGTGCATATACTTGTTCCTCCCTATTTACTATTACTGCAGAAAAACTGCTAAATTTTCTCCAAGTGAGGTGATTATTTGGTTCTGAGCACTAAGTGAAGTAGAATGTCTAGCTAATAAACAAATGGTTTTCTACTACGGCTAAATAACTGGTAAGTGTTCTATCCGGCATTTGGTTTCTCTAACGGAGTACAAAGTAAAGACTGCGACGTTTATAAGTATGTCAGTCTTTGAAATAATGGGGAAGATTTGTAGCTCAGGTGAGTGATTTTGATTTGTGTTATCTGAGCTGGTTGATTTAATTCCAAAGCCTCCGTCGTCCTTCAAAACACCATCTTCAGCGCAGGTTTCAGTATGAAAACCTAGAAGGACAACAAAGGCTTTGTGATTGTGTAAGTCTTTCTGAGAAGTAACTAGTCTGAAATAGAAAGGCAAATAGTAAATCTTGCTTCACACTTGATAAAATTATATTAATGAGCTATGTAAATCAACTTGAGACTAAGAAACTAAAGATCGATAGAATTTTGAAAAGACGCGACACATGTTTGAACATGAGGTCTTCTCCGTAGACGGAAAATTGGTTTTACTCTTAAACAATGAGAAAAAAATCCCGTAGGAACTCATCTTACATTCAATGGAGATTTTAATGGCAATAAAGATAAGTGAATTGCATTACCTTGTATTTGTGTAGGATTTCTGATTCATGGATGATCTTCGTAGCATCATATGACGGTCGAGCTATGCAAACCACACCGTATTTTCCAATAATTGTCTCAAGCTTTGTAAAAAAATAACATCCCAATAAAAAAATCAAATGATTGGATCAGAAAGATAAGTAAAACATAATTTTTTAACCGAAGATTAACGCTATACAACTAGATATGATGTGCAAATCAAATTATTGAATAACTGAGTATCCATCCGTAAGGTTGACTTAATTGGTAAAACAATTAATGAAAATATATGAACGGGTATTAATATTTTAGTGTTTCAGAAAGGCTATGCATTGTACTGTTATTACGCTAAATTGGTAATTCACTATTTTGTACTTCCTATAATAACAACTCAAATGAGAAGAGCTACAAACAACAACGACTAAAACGTATAATTCAGAGTGAGGAAGCACTTAATGTAGACGAATTAAGTAGCAATCGTAAATACTATTGACGTGCAATAACGCTCTTGTGGAATACTGAAAATTATTATTGTAAAAACTAAAAAACAAGAGAGCAATATTGTTTTCAATTAGATCTTTAGGCTTCAGTCTAATTTACACAACTACACATATATGAGACTAATTTTTACACTGTGCTTAGTAAAACTTCTTACTTATTAGAACGATCGGTGCTCCTATAGTTGTGACCCACTATAAGTATTCCAAGGGTGTTCAGACAACTTCACGAAAGGCACATATATCAACAATTTACAAGAGTGATAGTGATGTTTAATTTCGAATACAAATCATTTTAAATAAGAGTTTGATCGGCATTAAAACAATTGTTATAATATTTACTTGTTTGAGATAAAAAGGAATGTACTAATAAAATATGGAGCCATCGATAGTTTTATCGAAGGATGATACGTAGAAAAGTTGCAAGAGATGTTCTGTGACGACTGGAGTCCACAGTTGCTATATACTTTGACTAATCAGACCTTTATATTCACGAATACGTTTAAGTTACATGTTTGATTTACATAGTCAGGGGAATGCAAATAAAAATAGCTGAATATTCATCGATGATGACATGCAGATTAATCAATAGAGTACATACGTCAAGTTTATTTAAAGAACCTTACGTCATCCAGTGCCCATAAATTGGGAGTTGAAAACGACTGAAGAAGATCACTACCACATACGAATTTCACGTGAGGCTTTGACAGCCAAAATTTAGTTGATTCACTTTTGAGTCTGTAATCACACTTCTCATAAGAGGAAAATGTGGAGGAATTGTTGTTTTCATAATCATTAGTATACGACTGGTTCCCAGTGCATTCTGAATTATAATTGTTCTCAGGGGGTTCAATGCTCATTAAGCAATTCCTAAGCCAACTGTTGGTTGACATACCTTCTAGTGATGATTTTTTCACTTGTTCATCAACCTTGACAACCAAATGGTTAACATCTGGAGGGCGGAAAATAAAGAAATGAAATTACCTCCCATAGAAAAATTTTTTTTATTGTCACTCAGAGATATTAGTTATTTACAACAAAATATTTGACAAGTCAATTATTGAACTTTACAATTGACTAAATGTCTGGACAGTCAACCCTTCCTCTTAACACGTTATCAGCAAACAGCTTGACGATATAGAAAAGAAAAGCCTGATACAACAAATATTACATTTTGGCATAATTATATTATTTGGTACTGTTAGGTAACTTAACAGACAATTTACCGAATATCTGACAACTCAAAACCTCACAAGAGCATCGAAAACATATCCACCATTAAACCATGCTCCTTAGGTATCAGTCATCAATCAACCTCTAATTGACATTTTACGTGAAATCAGAATTAAATCCTACTGACATCGTTCTAGTTTCCCAATTGGATCCTGTTATTCGGGAAGAGAAGACTACTTAAAGTGCTTTTATTAAGCCAAACTAAATATTTGTTAATAAACTATAGAGACCCTTAGCAGATATCATTTGAAACGAAAACAAAAGGACCCGTCCAGTTCAAAAGATCATTTTATTTATGAACATGAACTCTAATCATGGTCTCAGCTGACGTTCTGAAGAATTTATCCTGGTATTGGAGGAAAATATGTCTGCAGAACGGTTAACTAAATTTCGTGAAACAACTACGTGGATGTAATATTTTAATAGTTAACCTTATAAAACAAAGAAAATGTAAGTAAAGAGAAAAACTTACCGTATGAATCACTTTCTACATATGGTTTATTTTTCAAGATTGAAATACACTCAGCGGCATTACTGTTACACAAATCCGAATACACACTTTCCAGTGCAGTCTGAATATGATCTAAGACCACGCGAGTTCTTGACCAATTTGGTTGACAGCATTCCCAGTTACTGACAGTCAGCCAATCTGATGCGGAATTACAAGCCAGACGTGTAAGTTCAACGCGTACAGAAGCAGGGAGAAGACCTTTCTTACCATATAAATCTGACACAGGACTAAATATACCACCGACAACAACTTTTCTGTGACCAGGATTTGTTACTGTCTTGTTTGTACATTCTGCCTCATACGAATCTTTCGATAGCGGCTTTGTTGGTAAATATGATTCTTCAATCTTATCTCTAGCTAACTCTAATAAATATCAATTACACAAAGTTAAAATAAGCAATAATTTTTAGGCGCAGGTTTTCGTATAGGAATTAATATACATTACGGAGGAAAACCATATACTAGTCTTGAATGTTTCATACATGGCTAATAACAGTTTTGAAACCATTACATCTCGGACACTAAAGTATGCAAAATAAAATAATATGGAAAAAGGAAGATGTATTGAAGAAATTATGTGAAAAAGTAATAACAATACTAAGAAAGGGACCAAAAGACAGCATGTTCAAAAGGGACTCTATCAAGTTATTTATTAGATAGACATCAATAACCAAATGTAATATGACTGTTAAAGATGTTTTTAAATTTAGAACTCAATACACGATTGGGTTATTTGAGTGGATGAAGACTCAAAAAACTGTGCCCTCTTCACTATGTATCCCTCAAGTTATCAGTCGTATATTGTTATATATGCTGTGCACCAGATCACAAATCGGAGTAGTACGAAACCACAAAAAACCAACTACTCTGAATAACTACGGAATTAGTTTCCAAGGGATCAAAATATGATTTTTGCTCACATTTTCTTATAAAAATATTTCTATTGCAGACGAATATTTTATCATTCAACATCAATATAGTTTACAACTTGTTTTGCTCTATTTTAATGGTTATTTCGATGAACAACACTGGAGATACAAAAAAGTGTTATTTTCACTTGGTTTGAGATATATAACATTCTGGAAGCCGTAATAATAACATTGTAATGCACGTGGAGATGTGGTTGACTACCTATAGCACTTTTTCTCTTAAACAATAGGTCACGGGGAGGAGTCTCAACCCATCTTTTGTTGCAGATATTTCTATGCCAATGTAATACCAAATGAGGGGGCCGCGTGCAATCAAAGGGAGAATAATATTCCATCTGTTACAGTAAACTTATAAAGTCAGAACAGTCAAAAGAGAGTTTATCAATCTCTTAACGTTTCAACTACAAACTGAGTGATGAAAATCACAGTTATATTAAACGTATTTGTGTAAGTTTACTTACAAACGAAAGGAAGTACCTGACTCTAAATACTTTTAATCTTAAGTTACAAAGCGAAACTACGTACTGTGATTAGTAAAAGCCCATTGGAAACTTTACTTATATGATAGAGAGCAAAACGAGACCGTACCTTTCAATGAAGGCGTCAGTAGCACAGCGGTAGAATGCTCGCCAAACACACATGTGGCTCGGGGTTCGAGCCCCGGCCGACGTACTCCTTTACCTCGCCAAGTCAGTAATTAGACTGGTAAAGAGAGCAGGTTGGGCATGAGACTAGCGACCTCATCCAGTAAAAATAAAGACTACTGCTACCGAAACTTGAAGCCCTTTTTTCCACTCGGGACGTAAAGGAATAAAATATTTTTTAAAAATCATTTACTAAACAGTTTCTCATGAAGTTGTTTGCAAAAGTAAACAAACGATTGTGAAGTGTAAACTCGTCAATACCAATATGACTCATTGTTTAATCATTCAGATTTCATATGGTTTTCATATTTTTAGGTGAACAGCCAGTGACGTTAGTAATGATTGGCACAAACTTATATATATATATATATATATGTTACATTAAACTGCCGAATTACTTCAAGCAATACATTGTCAGATAGTAACCAAGCCAAACAAGCAAATATACTACTAAGCGAAAGGTGAAATATGGGCCATTTAGTGTGTTATAATCTCTATACTGCTATATAATTCAGTGAATTTCTCCGGTAACACGTACTACGAGCCAGTTGTCGGGAAGTCCACTTTTGACTCGTACTATTTATTTATTTTGATACCTCGCTAACAAAAAATGGATTAGCTCGACATACCCCTTTAGTACTGGTCATTACAGTGATTTACATTTACGTTAAACATATATCTATACAAAGTACTGACAATACAGTCTCACAATGATATATTAAGCACAAGACAAACAAATGGAATATTCTATTTATGCGAAAATACAGACTGTAATAAAGAAAATAACTTGCCCATCATTCTCATGTGCATCACAGTGACTGGATTGAAGGAGCCACATGACAACAAAAATATAGGTTCTACTCTCGAATTTCTCATGCACATTGAATTCCGTTCTTTTAAAAAAATGCCTCTCCAGAAAACTGACCGGCCGTCTGAAACGGAAGATTTAACTTATTACTTTGCTCTGAAGACAGGAATGTTACAATATATAAGTATTTCTCCGTCTGTTCTGGGCTAAGCTAAAGAGCAGAGATTAACCAAAACGACCAACTAAGTGCGTCGTGTGAATAGAAAACTTTATAAAAAACGACACAATAATGCTGAATTAAATCTCAGTTGAAATGCATCTATAGTAAATTCTGATCTGTTCTGAAAGGTTTGTTTATGGCACAGACTAGAACTCAGTGCTGGTTTTCAGCATGACTAGAACTAATTCAGCACCGTGTTCTTTTTCTAGGCATTTTCAGGAGTAGATCAGAACATACTGGGTTTCCTTATCAGCGTTGTTCCAGCCATTACAGGACATATTAAGCACTGACTAGCATTACTTCAGAACGAAAAGACCTAATTCAGCACCCAGCTCTCTTTTTAAGCACGACCAGCGTTATTTAAGAACATAGTGGGTAGAAAAAATTTTCATTTACCATAAAAAGGCATTATCACGCATAGGTTAGAATAAGTTTAGAATTGTTGTAAGCTTGGGGAATTACGTAATGCACAATGACAACGTACGACGGTGACCAACTATATGTTCTAGTAATATCTCCCAGTTTTCGCAGTTAGTCCAAACCGATTTCTGTACTTAAGTTCATCGAGATGACTGTACGTATATCATGTCATTTTGTGACCAACTTATTACTCGAATCAAATGAAAACAAAATCGTTCTAGGGAATCAGTGTGCGTTGCACCTAACTATTCAACCAAAACAAGAGAATGATTCACCATTTTTTTAGTACAGTCGAGTGACAGTAGCCATGTGTTAGTTCAAAAAGGGTAATAACCCCTTAATTTATATGAAGGACTAATGTCTGTGTTGTCCAGGCATTCACAAGATAATCGAAAGTTGGTGATTTATTGTAGCCTATTGTCATATAGTGTTGAAATAAAAAGTCAGGATGATAGTTGCATAATGAAGCTTATCGAACCGGTTTTTCAATATCATGTATTTTGTTGACCGTCCACTCGGATCCATAAACTTACAGTGGTTATAAACGGCATATAGAACAGGAGAATCATTGAACACCAAGCCAAGTTTTAGCGTCAAAGTCACTACATAACAGCAAGCATCCTAATCGACGATATCAGCTAGCTAGCTTTATAAGTCGACTAAGGCAAGTGTCACAGCATTTGGGATGTGCGAGTGCCATTGGGGGAATCAAAACAAATAAAATTTGTGTGCTAAACTACGATGGATGAAATGAATTTTATTTGCTCTAGGTTGTACAAACAGGGACATTTGAGGAAGCAATCAAGCATAAATATAGAAAAAACTCAAATTACGCACACCTAGTATGCGCCCATCTGATTGGTTGGCCAAGGTCATTACTTCCACCAACTTAGGTCCATCGTTTGGGTCACTTCTGTTGAGAGTTTACAAGCTGTATTAGCTATGAATCCAGATATTATTTCTGTGAGCTGCACAATGAGCAGTGAGACTTAGATTCAACTGCTTTTTTATTCCTTTACGTTCCCAGTGGAACACAGGACTTTAAGCTTGAGGCTTAAATATCGGTAGCAGTAGTGTTTATTTATACGGGGTGAGGTTGCTAGTCTCATACCCAAACTACTCTCTTTACTAGTCTAGTTACTGACTTAGCGAGGTAAAGGTGTGCGTCGGCCAGGGCTCGAACCCCGAACCACATGTGTGTTTGGCGAGCATTCTATCTCTGTGCCATCAACGCAACATTCATTTGTACTGTACTTATATCATCTTCCAAATTCCAGTTAAGTAAAAAGTATCGATTCAGGGAGAAGGAACTTCAAAATCATATAGAAGCGGCCAATATCAATTTTAATAGCTAGTAAAAATTGATTTTGGTTGCTTCTAGGGTAAAAGCTGTAAATCCCAGATCTCCGGAAAACTTTTGCATAGTTAGTCCTGCCACTCTCTTGAAGTAGCTGTGTTTTTCCTAGAAAGGGGAGTGCTATTGGTTATTTATCTCGTACCACTCTTGCAACCCTGTTGCCAGTTGTTCTTGGGAGCTGGACTTGATAACTAGTGGTGGTAGTGTGCTGATCGATGTGAGGTGATTGGAATGAAGCAGTCTACATGTGGAAATATCATCATAAACATCAAGGGCCATCTGAGAAGGCAGAAATGGTCTTTGCTGAGGATCATGCAAGGGTACCTTACATTGAACCCTGCGCATGACCATGGAGGTGAAAGGCATTAGTTCCAGTGACTGGCTATCCATCTACCTGACTGCGCACTACCTGTTGAATCTTATTCGTGTATTGGAGATTATTTCGTACTAAGAACTTCATGGAGAAGTAGCACACTGTGAGCGTCTTCAGCAAGGTTCAGCGTTTTTACTAATGTGGGTGGGTTGCCTTGAGGTACTTAGGCACAATTGTGCAGTGTAAACAGCTTTACAGTGTGGATCACAACCATAGTTCGCCGCCAAATTAGACCACTGTTCTCGAATAAAACATTAGCATCTTTTCCAGTGGATTAATGCTACACACCAATACGTCAAACAGGGAGAGACGGTCTGGTAGACTACAGTCTAGCCACACCATTTCAAGGTAAATGCTGTTGGCCTACCACGAACAAGGTCAATCCCCATAGAGGTAGAGCAAAGGTAACACTAGGCTGAGCACTTCAAAAGATTTCTAAATCGACCACTACCTACAACGTGCCCAATAATAGCAATAGCGGAAGCAGAACTACTAGTGGATACCAACTCTCCAAAGAAAGCAGAAATCCTGAAGGCAATAGAAATGCTAAAAAATGGAAAAGCAGCAGGACCAGACGGAATCCCAGCTGAAGCACTGAAAATGGACCCAGAAACATCAGCCGACTTGATTACACCACTAGTGAAGAAAGTAAAGAAGGAGAGCAAGGTGCCTGCTGATTGAGGGAAAGGCTACCTATTTAGAGTACCAAAGAAAGGAGACTTCAGTCAATGGAAGAGCTGGCATGGCATTCTGCTCCTGTCTATCCCAAGCCGCATCATCCTGGAGAGAATCAAACAAGCCCTGGATGAAGAACTTCGACCGGAACAGGCTGGATTCAGGAGGAACAAGTCATGCATCGATCAATTTGCAACACTACGTATCATCAATGAACAGAGCTTGGAATGGCAGTCATCTCTCTATCTCAAATCTCATGACTTTGAAAAAGCCTCCGACAGCGTCGACCGACTTCAGATTGATAAAAGAGAACCCTTCCTTTCCGGTTCTGGCTTGCTTTAACAGCTTCATCCGTTCCAGCTGCCTGCGGTTGGAACCGTGCTTCCTAGATAAGGGAATGAAGAGACCTCTGTTAAATCTCTCCTGTTGATGATTGATGCTGGTTTTCGCCGTTGCTGTCTTTGGTTATCTTCATCACCTCCGTCTTCTCTATGTCCACCTGGAGTCCTGTCTTCGTTACCCCTTCTGCCAGTTCGTTTGCTTTTCGCCTGCGGGTCTTCCAATTTGTGTGACATTAAACATAAACTATCCACACGCGAAATCCACATCTTCTAGAGTTTTCTCGTCCGTCCATCGTACTCCTGTCTTCTCACTCCCCTAAGTTTGACGCATAATCCTGTCCATCATACTTAAGAATACCATCGTGATAATAGGTAGGTAGTCTTGTAACACTCTGGTATTCAATTCGAACGCATCGCTGCGTTTCCCGTTTTGGATCATTGTCATACAGCCAGCTGTTGAATGAGGTTGGTAAATATTCGGGACAATGAATACCGTGCAACTGAAGCAGTTTCCGAATTACTTCTCGGTCAACTCTGCCAAGGCCTTTTCGAAGTCGATGAAGTTGAAGTAAAACAAGAGTTGACTGCGATCTATGCTTCGTTCTGTGATGATGTGTAAAGTCGCAATTTGATCAGCACATGATTTACCCTTCCTGAATCCAGCTTGTTCTGTGGAGTGGAGTTACTCATCCAGTGCATTTTTTATTCTCTCTAGGATGATGCGACGTTGTATTTTACTTGGAGTGGACAATATCATTATTCCACCCCAGTTCTAGCAGAAGCCTAAGTTACCTTTCTTTGGTAGCTTGAAAAGGCAACCAGCCTTATTCCAATCGGTAGGCACCACTATTTGTTTCCAAACTTTTGAAGTAATGGTGTGAGCACATCTGCTGCAGTCTCTGGTTTCGTTTTCAGTGCTTCGGGGGGGAATTCCATCTGAACCCGCTGACTTCCCAACTGGACTTCAGTAGCTTGATCGCATTCAAGATTTTTACCTTCGGTGGGCAAAAGTTAATATTGGACGCTACTTAATTCTCCACCAAAACAATGAGATTTAACATAATATATTTAAGTGTTCAACACTTATATGTGTTTGCGTAACGAAGAGTAACGATGGCATACAGAAAACCTTGTGTGTTAGGTTGAAAAATACGCTTTTCTATCCAGAGTTCTGCAAAGTTTCATAAACAGCTAATAATAATGATAAATGCACTAAGGACAATTGAATAAATAGTTATGAGAATATGTGGAATGATGAAAATCAGCCGTGAATCCGTGGACTTTAGATGTGAACCATACGTGAATCGTAAATATGACGAAAATATCAATAACGTGCATAAGCAGTTATATTGTAATTTCGAATAACGATAATAAAAAGGAAAATTCACAATAAATTAAACAGTGATGATTTGAATGTAAAATTTAGACCATTGAACTCTCCAACCACATGGGCTTGTTTACACAGGTGTTTCTGTTGAAGTTACACTTTTAGCAACTGGAGGTGCTGGCATGTCTTTCAGTTGATCGTTATTGTTGTCTTGGGAGTCGTCGATAAACGCTGGTTTGACTCTATGAACACTGATGGACTCTGCTTTATTAAGTCGTTCTACCTCAGTGACCTGTCATCCCAACTGGAACTCTGAATGGACGTCGTAGACCGGTTGAAGCTGCGGCTGGACACCATCACTCCTGATGAAAATGTGACTGCAGTTTTTTCACTTGTAGCGGGAAGTAATGAGATGTCTGCTGACGTCGTGGAAGTGATATTTCTAGCTCATTCATGGGCTACTTTTAGTAAATGCGCATGATCAGCCATGTCACATGGAACTGGGTTATCTGAATTAAGAAACTCTGGATTCGCTCGTTTACCCATTAGTACCAGTACTAGTTTGGTAGATCAGTCAGTTTTAGTTGAAGAGGAAGCAGGCGCAGTCTTTAGTTGCCAGTAAATTTACTTGACCATTGCGTTCGAAATAGGATGGGATGAAGTCATTGGTATTCGTTTCATTCCTAGAAATTTGGGGAGCTGTTGTAAATAGTGGCTTTCAAATCGTGCACCAATGTGGTGATAATGGTCAAAAGGCCAAAGTTATATATCCCGTTTTCAACACAGCCTTAGCAATTGTTTTGGTAGACATATCTGCTAGTTGAAATGCTACTGGTCAACGAGTAAAATCTATCAGTGCATTGAAAATATAATGGAAACTATTGGAATGGGGCAGTGGATCATCGAAATCTATATGCATATGATCAAATCATCATTTAGGATTAGGAAAACGACCAAACTGTGCATTGGTGTTAGGACGAATATTGGCTCTTTGACAAAACAAACAATTTTGCGTCCACTTCTTAGCATCACTGTTTACGCTTGACCATATGAATGATTCCTCCAGTGTGTTGATGGTAGCGCTTATTCTGGGATGTGACAGATTACGTGAGACCTCAAATATTCTGCATCTTGCAGTTGCTGGAACAAAATGTAGATGACTACCATTAGAAATATCACAGGCTATCTCCGTTTCGTCAAATTTCGCTGAGTTCTAATGATGTCCTTTTTGGAGACATAATCTTTTCTAGTTCAGCACAACGTCTTTGTGAGGTTGAGAGGTGTTCATAATCAATATAGGTACATAAGATATTTTTAATTTGCACACGTGACGAAGCGTCTGCAAATTAATCGTCATTAGTCCTTACATGTTGAATATTTGAGGTAAATTGGGATGTAAATTCAGAATGCCACAGTTAACGAGGCGAGAAGTTATCTTTTTTGGCTGACAAGGCGTTCGTTGAAGCTTTATTATTCGTAAAGACAGTAAAAGCTGTACCTTCCAGCGTCTGTCTTAAGTGCTTGATGAACAGATAAAAAGCTTGTAACTCTTCATCAAAAGTGCTAAGGAGATACTGATCAGGTTTCAGTTGTCCTGAAGAGAATGAGGGCGGTTAACATTCACTGTGTACTTACTATTTTAGAACTGCCACAGAGACTACATTCAAAGAGTTCTTCATAAGTGGAAGAGAAGCTCAGTTTTTGCACTATATTACAAGTGACTTTTCACTTAGCAGGTGCGTAACGCTCTAGAACGATTTAATGGCTTCCACTGACAATCGAAACGAATTGC